AATGTATTATATATATCTTTAAGCTCTTGTAATAATTTTCACACTCTCATAGAGAGAACAAAATGTATCAACTGACTAGACGCGCCAAACATAACATAATTCAATTTCAAAACGCGACAAAGACAAAGCGATGAAGACGAGAGAGAGAAAAAGAACATATAGCGAGAAACTCGCGCGAAATCAGAAACAAGACATGTGACGACACACGGTGCCGTCACAGGGGGGCTTGGGGAGGCTATGTTATTTGAAAAAAATCCTCCTGATGTCATCGTAATTCTATATTTGATAAGTGAAAGCGGTTAGAAAATCGATGCTATTTTTTCTTCGAAGTAATGTTCAGTTCAGTCCGAGGATATATATGTTGCATGTTTTTGAAATATTTTCATTTATTAATGCTAGCGTCTCCTCTATGAAGATGAAGGGGAATAGTGAACGTCGTTATCTAAGATCAACAATGACCAGGGTTGTCGATTGCTTTTGACAAGTAGTGAGGGCTAAAAATTTCGCAGAAAATCTGAAAATTTTGACAGAAAATCTCGTCTCGCTTTTAGACAGTAACTGAGGAAATAATGCTGAACTTTTCGACTTTCTGCGATATTTTGTTGAAAAAAAGTGGTTTACTTGATTTTTTTCAGAAAAATGGGGAAAAATGCTTAAAGGCCGGGTTTTCGCCAGAATTTCTTACAAAATTTTTAAAATTTCGCAGAAAGAATTCAAAATTTTCGCAATAAATTTTCGCATATTTTCAATTTTTGGGGGACTAGCCCCATGCTCGGCAAACCTGGCAATGATACAACAGCGCTTTAATCCTGTGCTTATCCCTCATGTTCATAAAGAAAAATTAGATCAGTTAGACTTGAACAGTAGTCGTTCTGATTTTATTGCAAAAAATCAGAGTAGAAAAGCCTTTTTTGGACGTGAATAATAGTTTTTGTACTTGTGAATTTTTTATTTGCTTTAGTCAAGGTTTAAGATTTTTGATGCTCATGTTGATAATGAAATAAAAATTTTGATAGTGTAGTAGAATTCTCGATTGCTGTGAAGGTGTGCAAATGAGTCAGTGAAGAAAATGTTTTAAATGAAGGTTATAACCAAGAAATTTAAAAGTCTGTTTTCTCCCTCTAATGTCGACTTTCTGTCGTTGTTTTTCAAAAACATTTTGAGCCCCCCCTAAATTAGAAACGTTCCACCGCCTATGATCATCGTCCTGGGATATAAATCGATGATCATACTATGTTTATTTGCAGATCATTATCATCACATTCCACAATCATTTAAGATGGTATGTATGAAAGTTTTTTCTGTTCATAATCATTTCTTTATATGTAGCTGATCTCTTCGATGGACCAATGATGATTGAACAATGCTTTTCTTTTTTTATTCTCCTCATTATCCTTGTATGAAGGGAAAACATTCTTAACTATCATCAGTTCATCGGAGAGATCAGCGATATATAAAGAAATGGCAATCATCGAAGTACTGATATCAACATTCAAAGGATCTGAGCTTTAAGATAATATGATCGTTTTGTTTTAGGCGAACAATATAACAACCGTAATCAACGTCTTGCGTACACATTTGGATGTATTATGGGCTCATCAACAAATCAAGTATCCTCAACATAATTACATCACCTGGCCTATGGTATTAAAATTGGTGCAAGATGTTAATCAATATTATACTTGTGGAATAGTCAGTACAATATATATTGACAAAAATTAAACATGATTTTCTTTCTTTTATAGCTGGACGTCGATGATGTAGCATCGACAGTTGCTGGCGTTGGTGGTGGTAATTATCAAGAACAATTACAACGATCAGAGCAGCATATGTTGGATCTATTGGCAAAAGTAAGGATTAACTCTTATTAAACAGATCAAATATGCACTGTAGGAGTTAACACTATTTTTCAAAACTTTGATCAGTTATAACTACCCTAATTTTAACTCCTACAGTGCAAATATGTAACGTCTTTCTCCTTTTAGGTCGATCCAGTGAAAAATGCTATCTTGACTCATCTGGATATAAGGCGTGAGTTCTATAATCATTAAAAAAATCAGCAAACTATCACGTTTTTTTTAGCCTAGTTTGTCATCGTACTGGTGATATCTTGATTCGTTGGCGGTCCTATTCGTCGCTTTTGGCTTTATAATGACATTTTTCTTTTTTGTGTTCATCAGTTTTTTTTCCATCTTTTTTTGGTCTTGTTGATGATCTTTTCTTGTTCGCAATCTTGATGATGATCTTTTTTCTTCTTAACCTTGATGATCTTTTCTCTCTTGATGATGGTCGTGTTACGATGTTTCGTCTTGATGATAGTCTAAATATTCATTTTTGTCTTAGTGTTGACTTCATCAATAAATAACCAGATGTTGACATTTCATTATAATTAATCACAGAAACATCGGCTTTTAGTGAAATAAATTTATTTCCAAGTGAATAGTTTGGAAGAAAAGACCTTTTAACAAGTGAAAATCATCAGCGATGGGTTGTTTTGTTTATTTTCTATGAATAAATAAGAAGAAAGTGTGTCTCTGATTAAAAAATGTCAATGATGATTTTGCTTTGAAACAATTTACAAAAAATTAATGCATTAAATTTCCATCATCATTTGAATCATCATCATGAATTGTACGTTGAGATTACATTGATGATGAGATTGTTAATGATGCTGGTTATTGAGGTACACATGTTGGACCTTTTTATAAAGAAAATACTTTCAAACAATTAAAAAAATCTTATCAACGAACTGTAACTCGGTGATGTTAAACTTAAATAAATAAATATGAAAATGATAGATTTTAAATTTAAAAAAAGCAGCATACTGTATGATGGGCTTGTTCGAGCTAAATAAAAACAAAGATTTAATCAATTAAAATAAATAATATGAAAATGGCATTACTGTATCATGGATTGGATGGAGAAATAAGATGAACTTTGACGAGAATACTTAGATGATGGTCCATATGTTGAATAACCGGGTGATGATGAAGAACATCCTGGACTTTTTGAAGAATAATATGGTGATGCTGAATCTTGTCTTCCTCCAGTTGTTGAATAATTTGAACTTGTTGGACTATATTAATAAATAAATATTGATTAAAAAGCTAAAGAAGAAAAACGAACTTGTAATAAGGTAATTTTGATTCATAAATATTAATTGAATCATTTGATGGATATCTCGGTGATTGTGGATAATAACTAGATGGTGATGATAAATGAGCCGGTGAAAAACCAGTTGTATCTGAAGAACTTGGTAAAAAAGCTCCAGATGTTGTAAGTGATGCCATTTGTTGTGATGGTGTTAAATATGGATTTATCCATGGTGTTTGAGAATTTGAATGATGTTGATCAAATTATTTTCTTGCTTGTTCACTCATAAATGTATCTTGAGGAAAATTCATTTATAATTCTATTGCTGAATAACATTTTTCAACATCTAATAATAAATCAACTCATACAGTACCAATTTTAGTTAATTGTCCTAATAAAATATTTTCCAAAACTTCTCTTCATGGAGCCATCAAATGAAATAATATGATTCATTTTATATTCGATTGCTTTTCGTACAGCGTCAATACTAAATACATCAAATATTTCTACCACATCATTTGTATAAGTTCTTCTCAAATCAATATCTTTAGTAGCTAAATATATTTTAAATGAAGTTCCATCAGTTTCTAACATCCAACCAGCAATTGTTTCAATTTCACAATTATCATTAATTTGAATTCTTGTTTTTGATTTATCAAGTTTTTGATTAACCATATAAACTTTTCGAATAGCTTCAATCACGTTATGTTGCATAAGAAAAAAAATGAAAGAACGATTTTTGAGATTGTGGTCAGATGGATTCGATTTAATAAGCATTGATACAGATGAATCAATGTCAAATTCGTTTTTCAGTCCAACGCTTAAGGTAAAAAACGGGGACGGGGTATTAAATCTGCGTATAGATGATAACTACAATCTTGAGTATTTCTACTAGTTGGCAAAATTTAGGAATGTTCTTAGGCGTTTGTGGGTATTCGTGTCTTTCACAAATGCTTTTGTTGTTACTTACATTATCCAATTCCAACATTAAGGCACTACATAGAAAATCTACAAAAACAACGTCAACTTTTTTCTTCTATCGCTTCAGACAAGTTAAATAAGATCTCTGCACAAATTGCTATAGAATTATACATGTTTTCGACTGATGGAATCATCCAACTTCTACTGTCAACAGTTTTTCTTCGATAATTATCTTAGTCTAAACGACTGTGTCTCAGCATCGCTACTAAGACATTAATTGTAAAATTAACAGTATTGACTTCGGCTTATTTCATACCATCTTAGTCAGTTACAAACTGTTTTCCGTAAAAAATAATTGGTACTGGCCATTTTATAATATTCGATTCAAAAACAGATATTTGCTTGAAATAATTATTTCAATTTAATTTAATTTTCTGATTTATAACTGCCACATATACACCATGAAATTGTGTACCAGAGATAAGATGCCTAATTCGAATTCGAATATAAATGTAAATGGACACCCAACTGCATGGTATCAATTCGAAAATAAGTGATAAAAATAGTCAAGTGTGGTTGTGGGTGATGGGTACCATGGAGGAATGTTCAAATGTGGGTGCGCGTGAAGGGTATATATGTATTCATATGTCGCATATATCGGAAAGTTAAACTAAAACTAAATCCATTCCTAGATTCAGTTTTAGTTTAACTTTTTCTTTTCTCCATTTATATTCGAACTCCAATTAGACAGCTACTCTTACCAGAAGTGTGGACATGGGTGAGTAGAACATGAATGTTGACTCCAATAGCCACAGCCACAAGCTGAAACTATATTCTGTAGCTTTCGACTTTGAATTTTGAAAAGCGAAACAAACTAGAAAATTGTTTTAAAAATGACAAGACTAGATGCCCAAACTGAACCTATATTCAAGACCGTACTAATATTACCACAAAGGGCAATGAGAACAAGAAAATTTGTCGATTGCAAGGACGATTGGGACTTATTAAAAATCAAATTATCAAACATAAATATATCTATTACTTGCCCCTGCTCTTCTTGGTATTTTCTCTACATCTCGTGTCGTGATGTCTTTCTTGTTTGTGTGCACCAACTTGGATAGAACTCCAATTTTCAATTGGTTTGCTTATTAAATTGGTTTCTTTCCATCGATGGAAGTACCTTTTGCATTCGTTTTACCATCATAAACATACCGGCACGCTTGCGTTATAATTATCCAAGCAACGGTTCCTAAATAGACACGAAACGCGTTAATTGTTGTTGTTCATCGCTGTCGTTGTCTCCGAGTTTAATAATTCAGATTTATTCTATTTTAAATGTCAGCTTATTTGTGAACGTCTATTGCTACACGAATTATATTCATATAATCCATTCAAAATTTGTATGCCGCTTCTATCTAATCCACCAGAGAAGTAGAGAGATCTATAAGATGAATTCAAAATATCTATGAAAAGATGTCTAAATTTTCCTGTTTGTCGTGTGTCTGTTGATTTCAGCTTTGTTTTTTTTTATCCAATAAATGCTTAAAATATAATATTTTTAATATAGTTTAACAAATGGGTGAATTTTTCAATTTTCTGTAGTATAACATTGGTTCTAAAAACCTATGCTGCAAATTTGACGATAATGCCATGAAAATCATAATAAAAATTCAGAATAACATTCAAGAGATGAAAATGAGCAATGATATTTCGCATCAGTCATGTGCACATGGTAACAAAAACTTGCAATTTAAGAAATAAATTTTAGTTTTCTACGATAATATTCGAGTGGGAACTGCTCACGATTAGAATTAATTCAAACATGAGAAAAGAAAAATCAGAAATTCAAGACAGATGCATGACGCAAACGAGTCATTGCTTGTAGTGAAGGAGAGAGAAAGCAAAATTACACAACATCGACAAACGAACACCATAAGAAACAATTATGCAATGAAGAGTAACGTATCGAGCCGCGGTTTCGGGACTTAAAATTGCCCACTTTCCAAATGAGCCAATAGCATATGGACGCAGAATTTCGGTTCTGCAGTTCCGGAACCAAATCGACACTCGATCACAGTTTGTTTTTTTGAATTCATTAAATAATCAATATAAAGCGTACGACTAGTAGGACTGTAGCACTCCTGCTTAACCAAAAATGTATCCGAAAGTTAAAATTATTGATCATCATCTCTCTAGAAAATTATTTTTCGACTGGAAAATGTTTCAATATTTGCTTATATCGACAAACAATTATACGGCAAATGTCATCCATGGATTTTTACCTCATAATCAACTCTATAGGATTGTGAATGAACTTGTTTGATTGAATAATCTATTGCAAGTGAAGCACATGAATTCTAAAGAAAAAGGTTATATCATTTTTGGGCTCAAATGAAGTATGCACTATTTTCGTTCAGTTGATTCCGATTTCTAATTAAGAATCTCTCATTCTTTATTTCACAACATACAACAGGAGGGAAACATTTAATATTTCTGTACTTTGAAGTACACTAAAGTATTCGAAAGTATTTTAAAGTCTATCGAGTATGAATTACCATGTTTGTTCCTGACAGGTAGACACGTTTTTATAGGATAAATATACCTCTGCAATGATTGTTGCCGTTAGAGTATAGATAAGAAAAAAATAAACCTGCGGCGTTATAAAAACGCAAGTTAATCAAAATCGTGACGGCATATTATATTACTTTTCTGTCGTCGAAACCGTATTCAGTGCAATAGCTGGAGTGGTAGTTGCTTTTGATAAAAGAACCAGCATAACAATCGTGCTGGTTGTCGTATTACAGAGTCAGACATAACCTGCTAAGATTAACTTATCAATCTCTACTATTCAAAATGAGCTTTTATATTTTATTAGTAATATTTATGATCAGTATTTTATTTATGATCACAATTGTCTACTGGAGACTAATTCGTCCAGAAAAGCATATGTATGATGAATTGCGCAGGCAAGGTGTACCAGGCGAGCCATTTATACCGATTATTGGTCAACTACCTCAACTAAATCGTGCTCGAGAAAACAATGGTACTCTGGCCTACTTATTTAGTCTTAGTGAAAAATATGGGAATTACTTCCTTTTTTCTTTTGGACCTCTAATGCGTATTATGATCAGTGAACCGGACATGATTGCTGATGTTGTCGGTCGATCACATGTTCACGATTATGTGAAACCGGACGTGTTCGGTAATATTTTCAAACCATTGATTGGTTCACATAATTTATTAGTCAGTGAAGGAGAAGAACATGAAAGAGCTAGAAAAATGCTTAATCCTGCTTTTCATTTTATCAACTTGAAATCAATGATTTCTATCATGGTTAATGAGACAGCCAAAGCTATTGATAGTTTTTTTCTATCATCAGATTCAAATGCTATTGATTTACACAGGGAATTGAGTGGTCTTACGTTATCAATTATTATGTCGAGTGCATTTGGTCAGGCTTCTTCAACGCGATCAAATTTTAATCGAACCATGTATCAAACAGTTAATGATGTTTTCGAAGCCATTAAATATCGAATAATGCATACTATTACTCAAATTCCTTTTCTCGCACGTCTACCTTTCTGGCGTAAAAGCGTTATCGATGATGGCGTTCAACTTATAGGCGATGCTGTTGACCAGATCATCACTGATCGACGACAGGGCCGATCAGCTAGTCTATGTGCTGGTTCGGATCTTCTCGATCTATTGCTATCAGCTATTGATAGCGATGGAAAATCATTTACTGACGAAGAAATAAAACAACAAGCTTTAACATTTGTATTGGCTGGTCACGAAACAACCAATAATCTTATGGCATGGGCTATGTATGTTTTGATGACCAATGAATCAGCTTTACGTGCATGTCGCGAAGAAGTCGATAAAGTTTTACCGAACTGTATCAGTCCCAGTCATGAACTTATCAGTAATTTAGTTGTGTGTGAAGCTGTCTTACAAGAAACCCTTCGTCTATATCCCCCGGCACCCATATTTGCGAGAAAATGTGTGCGTGAGCATGTTATTGGTAAAGAAGGACAAAAACAGTTGCGAATTCCTGTTGGCACCACTATTGTGATCAATAGCTATACGCTTCATCGAAGAGCAGACCTCTGGTCTCGACCACATGAATTTGATTATACACGTTGGTTGCGTGACCCGGTAACAGATTTGAAACCAAAGCTAGCTCATCCTTTCTGCTATTTACCCTTTGCTGCCGGATCACGTAACTGTATCGGACAAAATTTTGCAATGCTCGAAGCTAAAATTATGTTAGCAATGTTACTCCAAAGATGTGATTTTGTAATGGAACCGGGTCAAAATATTGTACAAGAATTCATCATTACCATGAGACCAAAATACGGTATTCGGGCTCAGGTCAGTAAGAGGTCAAAAAGCATTTCAACAATTGAATAATTACTAGTTCACTTTATTTGCTGATCAAAAGAATCTTGCCGGATACGAATGTACCATTTCTATTTCTATTATATTATAAAATAAAATAAAATAAAATAAAATATTCTCTGTGTGCTGTGTTTGCTTTCAATTTGGTTGAAGTAGTTGCAGTGCATGGATATGAGATATGAAATATTAAGGAAAGTCATAAATTGTTTCATTTAATTCAATGTGAATTTCTCTTCCTATTTTTACAACTGTTGATGTATTGTTACTATTGCGATGTAAGACGAATAATCATCATATGATATCTTGTGATCGTATATTCATTATGGTTTAACTCTCTTGTTTTTGTCGATTTTCATAAGAGCGAAGATACCCTTGATGCTGTCTCATATAATTCAGTCTTTAATAGAGAAAAATTGTCAATGGATAAACAATCAGATGAACATGTAAGAATGCAATAATTAGATGAGATAGCTATCAAAGTCATCTTCTGGTTATCAATAATTATATTCCAATATCTGCTGGACCGTATAAAGCAGGAAAATTTAATTTTTCAGAAGTTCGCTTTTGAAAATATTACTTTCTCGTTGTTTTAAAACTTTACATGTTTTCAATTAGTCATGAAATTTTTTAATACTATGATTTTTGCATGACTTTCTTCTCCAGTCAATTTTCATTTTTATTTTTTTGCGAAATAATCATATGATTTTGACATTGAATAACATAAAATTTGCAGGAGTCAACTATAAAATCTCGCTTGCCATCTTTATCGTAGCGGCGTAATCCCAACTTATGAACATATCTAATATTGCCGACAAGAATTCGTTCAATTATCACAAGCACAAACATAATCAGTCATTATTTAGATGTTTCGGCGAGTGAATCTCACTATGATCAAGATAGTACGTAACAACGTAGTATCCATCAAAAAGATTTGTTTTCACTTTGTAGAGAATATTATCCATAAGAGCACTTTCATCGTAGCATCTTGATTATGTGTATGTGCGTGAAGAAAAAAGTAACATCTACATTCTATCAAATAATTCATGCTCGTTAACACTGCATTAAAAATTGCATGCTGTCAAACTTGAAGAAGATTTCAAGCTATCGATTATTAACGAGATACTAGTATGCTCATTTGAGAAATTTATTTTTCCTTAACTACTAACTGCTCAAAGATTGAAATCGTACGTATGGATAATAATGTTGAATTAGTCAACTACTCATTTACTACGCAGAATATTTCTGATGATGCAAATGAGCACGCGAGCCCCAGTTTCAAATAGGCAACAAACGAGAAATGACCACAGTGTGGCTCAAGAAAGAAATCACACAATTCGATAGACTACTTATCGTATGATATTTACTTTTACAGCTAGTAGGTGTTTTCTTCGAAAGCATAAAATTGTGATCGTATTTTTTTTTGTCTATCTTCTAATCCCTGTCATTGCTTTTTTTAAAAACATGTTAGAAATTCTCTACAAGACGACTTTTGTTTTATCTACTCTGGCTATATATTGTTTAAAAAATAGCAGTAAGTAGAGAATTATGAAATCGATAAATAATATATTATTATTGAATCTGATCGATAAAATCATTTAAATGAAAAATATTTTGAATAGAATCGGCTGAACTTAAGTTACGTCTTGTTTCCTGCAATAGAAACAACTACAAAAGTTGAGTTTTAGAATAATGACTATTGCGATGACAGATTTTCGAGGTTGTCTTACTGACGAAAATATCTTCACGTTACTTCTTTGATCATCTGATACCGTTGCACTATTTAAAATATAACTGAAAGAATTCCAGTTCGTAAATTTTTCTACATAGTTCTCAGAGGAGAGAGTACACGCATTAATTGTTTTCACTGATTTCATCAGATAACGACATCTATCGTTCATTTCAAAACAAATATCCTTATATATTCATAATCGGTTGTACACAAAACGACTGGCAGAATTCGATTGTTTGTTTTTTTACTAGATCAAATCAAATGTATAGTACATGCTGCCTACTCTAAATATGATTGGAAAGATGAGTTCATCATTCATTGGTTTTTAGATAGACTCAAAATTTTTATGTTTGTTGAATGCCCGAAAGTGTTATTCGTAAACGCTTGACTGGTATTGCTAAAAACGTGAGTACGTGTTCGGCAAAGGTAACACGTCATGATTAAATTCATAACATTATAATATCCTTTTCCTCTCTATTAAGGCTACAGTATACGCAGCTTGTGTAATAAATCATAGTGATTTAAAAAAAGACTCGTGTTTAAAAGAATTTCTTGCACTTAAAGATTGTGTACAAAAAGCTGTAAGCAAAACAATATATTTCAATTTTTATTTTTATTAAATCAATCTATGCCTGTTTTTTTGTCTCCATTAGGCATTAAAAAATGGCTAAATATTTTATTTTCTTTTTATGTTTTTCTCTTGTGATTGTGTTTATTCATGCATCCCAAGAATCCCTTTCTATCAATCCTTCAACTGAAAATATTGGTTCCTATAAAATTGAAGGTAAAATAATCGTTCCACCAGGTGACAATGCACTTGAAAATACAAGAATCTTAATCGACGAAGGTCTTTATATTGGTATTCCACAAGTTGATGGAACATTTGTCATAAGTGGTATGTTCTCGGTATATAACTATTAAATAAAAATATTTGCTTATATTATTTATTTAGGTGTTCCAAGTGGTTCATATATAGTTTCTGTTGCGTCACCTCTTCATGTATTCGAACCCGTTCGTGTTGATATAAATGCTAAAGGTAAAACTCGTGCACGTAAAGTAAATTTTATTCAACCAGGAGAAGTTGTTACAATGAAATATCCATTAAATTTCGAAACACATGGTATACCAAATTACTTTCAAAAACGTGAAGTATATCGTTTAACTGATGTTATTATGAATCCAATGTTTTTAACATTACTCGTACCATTAGCATTATTATTAATCTTACCTAAACTAGCTTCACAAGATCCTGAAATGCAACGTGACTTACAACAAGCTAGTAATTTTCTTCAACCAAATATGAATACACCCGATATAGGTGATATGTTTGCAAATATGTTTGGTGGACCAAAAAAACAAAAGCCAACACAAAGTCAAAATAATGGTGCTAGCGGTGGAATATCAACAGCACAGCAAAAACGAAAAATTGAAGCAGCTAAACGAAGAAATTAACATGTTTTTATTCTCTTGCTTTTTGTGTCATTCTTCTATCTTTTCCTTATTTCAAATAAAATATAAAAACAAAATTCTTCTTGTTTTTCTTTATTTATGATATTATTCGACATAGACCATATTGACTAAGTACTAATGCCATTTCTTTATCTATATATATTGTACAATTAAATAGTGTTGTAACTGATCGTTGTTGAGCATCTTCACCAACTTTTCTGTATGTACCACGATAGATAAAATCATTGTCTATGGATGGTATTTGTAATTCTAAAATACAATGTTTTCCAGCTATAGTTAATAACAATAGATGATTGTTAGTTGTTGACATTTGTGAAAATGATATTCGAACTGAGGATTGAAATAAATTTTGTTTAACATAACGTGTTATTTGTAAACGTCTATGTTTATGTATTTCAATAAGATTTGCTTCGAGTTTTGTTTGATTTGGTTTTAAAAATAAGCGTAATTCATTTAAATTTCTTTGCCAATACATTTTTAATGGATTACGATTATTCAATGTTAATGTTGTTTGTTGAGTGGAATTCGTTAGTAATATTTCACTTGGTAGACAATCTACACGTAGTGGTATATTGAGAAGTGTTTGTAATTTTTCTTGACAAAGATTAAAATCGTGTTGTTGAGAATCATTCAATGGTAATGGTATTAGCCAACTATCGATATTCATTTTTTAGTTTTTATTAAAGAAAAATAAATATGTTGTCTTAGTGACATATATATTTTTCTCTCTCTCTCTCTCTCTAGATGAATCAATTATCATTAAAACATTTTATTGTGCGTTCACAAGTTGTTGCATTATATAGAGATATAATGAGAACCCTATTGAAAATTGATGATCGAGATTATCAAAAAGAAAGTTCGTATGAAAAAAAAACAGTTTCTTAATTTAATTTTTTCGTTTTCGATTTTTTCTAGTGAGAGAATGGGCAAGAACTGAATTTAATCGCTATCGAAAATTAACAGATCTAGGAGAAATTAGAACACAAGTTGCATTAGGACGACGACATTTAAATGAATTAAAATTAGCCATGCAGATGGCTTCTTAACTTAAATGGACCTTTCTGTTAGTTTTGAGATCAATTTTTTTCTCGATATTCTAGATGAGTACAGAAGGAAAAGGAGAAACGACGACAACAGCAGCAACAACAACATCGCCAACCATTCCATTACATCGTCAGGTAAAATATTCTTTTTGTTTTTAAATATGATCTTAGACGAACGATTAAAACTCGTAAAAGAGTAGAATCTCGCTATAGAAAAAAAAACAACGAAGAAATTGTTTTTCATATTTTTATCCGGCCAGAATTATGCTAAAGATATGTTTTCATTTAGGAATTATTAAAATGGCAAGGTTGGGGTTATCGTGATTCTCGATTTTTTATCAATTCTAATGGTTTAATTGAATTTTCTGGTTCGCGTTATTTACTAAGCGGCCATGTTCTTCCACGTCTGAAAGATTGGATGTTTAATAAATTAAATTCCAGTATTGATAATTATTCACCATGTGTTCAAGAACCAAATCCTGATTTTATAGCTGATCCAATTCTCAATAATGAATTTATCAGTGACTTCCAATCAACACTTGGTACCACAATTCAGTATTCAGTCGATAAGAATGATCGTCTTTTTCATGGTCATGGACATACACTTGAGGAAATCTGGAAATTACGGCACGGTGGTAAATTTGATCGTTTACCTGATTGGGTTGTTTGGCCAAAACAACATAGTGACGTAGAGAAAATTGTTCGACTAGCTACTAAACATGACATTTGTTTAATTCCATTTGGTGGTGGTACATCCGTGACATGGGCACTAATTTGTCCAACTAATGAAAAACGTATGATTGTTAGTGTTGACACATCACAAATGAATAAAATATTATATTTGGATGAGAAAAACTTAACAGCACGTATTCAATCAGGCATTATTGGACAAGATCTTGAACGTGAATTAGGAAAAAAAGGTATAATAAGAAATTTTCGAAATGTTTTTCGTCTAATTTCAATATGAATTATTTTTAGGATATTGTACTGGACATGAACCCGATAGTATGGAATTTAGTTCATTAGGTGGTTGGGTAGCAACAAGAGCATCTGGAATGAAGAAGAATGTATACGGAAATATTGAAGATTTAGTTGTTCACGTAACAATGGTAACGGCAAAAGGAACAATTGAAAAAAGTTGTTTAGGTCCTCGACAATCTGTTGGTCCAGATATTCATCATTTTATTATGGGCTCAGAAGGTACCCTAGGTATTGTTACTGAAGTAACAATGAAAATTCGGCCATTACCCGCATGTAAAAAATATGGTTCCATTGTTTTTCCGGATTTTGAATGCGGTGTTGCATGTTTACGTGAAATAGCACGTTTAAGAAGTGCACCAGCTTCTATACGTTTACTTGACAACGAACAATTTTTATTCGGACAAGCATTAGCAACTGACAATAAAGGAATGTTACATTCATTAGTTGACAATATTAAAAAATTATACATTACAAAAATTAAAGGCTTCGATATTAATCGAATGTGTGCAGCGACATTACTTTTCGAAGGAACAACCAATGAAGTTAATCAACGTGAAAAATTCGTTTATGATATCGCTCAAAAATATAATGGCATACCAGCAGGTAAATATATTCTGATATGTTAGGGTTATTTTCAATTTAATAGTATTAATATTCTGTATGTATTCTTACAGTGACAAATGACGAACAAAATGATCAAATCAATAGAAGATTTATCATGTAGATAATTCAGTTTCTTAGAAGTTATATTGATAGATAATTATTGCCTTACATGGTTTTGATGAGAGAAACTATAACTAAGAATCAGCATAGTATTTAACTATATAGTACAGTTGAATTTTGTTTTTGAAACAATTTTCAAATCGATTTTTATCTATTTTAGGTGAAGAAAATGGTTTGAAAGGATATACATTAACATTTATGATAGCCTATTTACGTGATATTGGACTTGATTATCGAATTGTTGCTGAATCATTTGAAACGTCCGTACCATGGGATCGTGTCATTGGTAAAAAAACAATATTCTTTTTCTTTATTTTTCGAACTTTTATCTTATAAAAGTAAGAATTCATTTTTTCTCTTGAAGATTTATGTCGTAATGTTAAAAAACGTATTATTACGGAATGTGAAAAACATGGTGTTAAATATCCACCATTTTCTTCATGCCGTGTAACACAAACGTATGATGCTGGCGCTTGCATTTACTTTTATTTTGTTATGAACTACAACGATATTTGTCCTGGTAGTGATCCAGTTCATATCTATGAACTCGTTGAACAAGCAGCACGCGAAGAAGTATTAGCTAATGGTGGAAGTTTATCTCATCATCATGGTATTGGAAAAATTCGTACTAAATGGATAAAACAAGCTGTTAGCGATCTTGGTGTTGGTACAATGGTATCAATTAAACAATACTTGGATCCAAATAATATATTCGGTTCGAAAAATTTAATTCCAGAATCAACCGAACCGGAAGAACATCTTAAAGCTAAGCTCTAAGCATAAACAGTGCTTCAAAATCGATCATTCGTCTTTTTCTAATTGTCTATGTCTTGTACGTGTCAAAACGTGAAGAACAACTGATTAGGATAATCAATTTTTTAAAACTATTTACATGAAATTTGTGTTTGTCGTTTCTTTTTTCTTCTTTGATTGTTGAAAATCTTTACTCTGTCTCTCTCTCTCTCTCTTTCTTTAAACGCAAAAATATATTTATCAACGTTTCGTTGTTTTTAAGATAATTATGACATCCATTCGGCAATTTAAATTAACAGATCTTTTGCGTATTAATAATGTGTAAGTAAAATTCTACATTAGAATGTTATGTATGCAAATGAATTTTATTTTAGCAATTTAGACATTTTCACGGAAAACGTAAGACAGATCAATTAAGAAATGGAGAATATAATGAATGGTTGATATCTGTTTTGTTTTAGTATGGCCTTTCGTTTTATTTACATTATTTAGCACGATGGCCGGAATGTTTTTTCGTAGCGGAAAACTCGGCTCAACGGTTGATGGGTTATAGTAAGTTATAATAATTATATTTGGAAAAAACGTTTCTAGTTGCTTTTTCTTTCAATTTAGTTATGGGAAAGATTGAAGGTGAAATTTTGCAAAAAAGAAAATAATTAATTCAAAACTTTTACTATTTTTACTATTGAAGGCAAGCAAGAAAATTATCATGGTCATGTTACAGCTTTATCTATAGCACCTGAATTTCGTCGTATAGGTGTATCATCACAATTGATGGCACTATTAGAAAATGTTTCTGAACAGTAATTAAACAGTTTTAATTTGATTTAAAAATGTTTATATTTGAATATACAGGAAAAAAACATATTTCGTTGATTTATTCGTTCGTGTATCGAATAAACGTGCAGTTGATATGTATCATAAATTGAACTATGTGGTCTATAGGCGAATCATTGGATATTATTCTGGCGAAAGAGATGAAGATGCATTTGGTAAAGCTTTGTTTATAAATATTTACAATAAAAAAAGACAGGGTTCTTGTCTTCGTCTTCTTCTTCTTCATAGATATGCGGAAAGCGTTGTCGCGTGATGTTGAAAAAAAATCATTAATACCGATTCCACATCCTGTTCGACCAGAGGACTTAGTTGATGATTAATATTTAGTATGCAATTTTACATGCCTATGTTTGCGTGTGTGTTTATTTATTTATTTGCTGAAGAAAAGCATTACAAAAAATAGGTGAAAAATAAAAGCACAATCTAATCTAATATTTTACATTCCACACTCGTCGGTGAACAATCTTTATATTGCTTAAATCGACCGTTTTGTTCATTTGTATTTTGTACACAAACGCATCGTTCAGTTTTTGTTGCACTATCATAAGCGCGTCGTGGTACACCAGTCCATGTTCGTTCAATACCACCACTAAATTTTCCAAGTAAAGATAAGATTAGAATTGAAGATTTATTACAAGAAAAAATTCAAAGTGAAAAAAGAAACTCGTGCGGTCGCTCGATCTTATCGGTTTCTATTTGTGCTTTATGATCTGTTTATTATAGGCACTGTCAAATATTATTGAGTTATTTATGAAAAAAACAGAATCATAATTCATTAAATAAATTGCTCGCTCACCTTTTTTCTGTACACCATACTCGCCTACCAGCATCATGTGACCATTCACTATTACATGGTGGCCATTGTTTTTCAAAACGTGCTTTTTCTTCTTTCTCCTATATACAAAAACAAAATACGAATAGAAATGATTGCAATCATCATTCGCCTTATTAACCTTTTCAATAATGTTAACTGATGTGAGAACATTATTAAAATGTTCTGTGAGTTCGCCATTTGAATCAAAATATCGACCGATTAATTTACCTATAAAATAGATACGATCAAATCAGAATATTTAATGCATATGAAACTAATTTTTTTAAATAAAAACTACCTATTTGTGGATATTGCTTTTTATAAAATGTTAACCAACCATATACTCCAGCAATATCTTCGTCAGTTAATCCAGTTAAATCATCGGTAAGATCTTCTGATGATGTACCACCGGTATGAAAACTTCGAGAAGCATCACGGCCTAAATGAATTAATATCTGTCTAAAATTTTGATATATTTCAAGATCATCTATGATTTTGCATTAATAACGATAGCAAACAGCATGCTGAGACTCAACTGTATTAAATAGCAAATCTCAGCAGTAGATATCAACACAGTTTTGGTCCATACGCAACAGATGCAATTGATTAGGATACAAGTAAAATATTTTATTTTATTGTCTGGTGTATTTTTGCATACCTGTATAGAATTTATAACTTCCGGTCGATGAATAAAATCTCGGTGCTGATGTTACATTGAAAACATGTCCTAAATGGATAGCGAAGCACGAAATTTATTTGTTTTTTATTCAAATTGAAGTTTTTGCTGCTTGTTTCTTTTACCTAAAATAGCTAAATACAATTCATCTTTCGTAAATGTTTGAAGCTCATCAAGCGTAAATAAACGCTCGCTTTTTATGTTGCTGTTATTATTATTGTCATTATTTATTTGACGTTGACCAATAAAGGAAATAATAATGATAAGAACAAAAGACGCCAGCCACCACTTGTAACTATATTAGAGTAATAAAAACAAATAAGTCAAGGAGTTTATTCACTGATACTATTGATATACGATGAACAAATATGTTAGAATGATTTTTGTGTTTTTTTTATTGATTCGTACATAAATGCGAAAAATTAGTAACCATACTTTGAAAACGATGACTGATTTGAGGATGAGGATTGATTCACAGATTCATCAGGTTTTTTGTTATTCTTGCCGATTGTTGACTAAAAATAAATAGCAGGAATAATCTATGTATTTGTTGTTATTTATTCATAGGCACTTATGGTTTATTATTCTGTTTGGCAATTCATTTCCTAATCGGCATATTTCTTTTTTGAACAATTCTGACTTTTACAAATTGCCTTTTTTTTAATTCATCCTTTTTTATTCGTAGCTTTTAATCTTTTTTTGAATGTAGCAACAGAGAAGAAAAACCTCTTGTTGACTTAACAATATATAAAATTAAGGAAAAAAAGAATTAAAATAATGTGTAGTGATAAACAGAATGCATGAAAGTCAAGCTTTTTAAAAGTTGCCTACCATAATAGCTATTGTTTTCTACGACTTTGAAAAGTATAGAATTTGTTCTTCAATTGCTTTTAACTTATCTTTAACTGTGAAGATACTTTAAAATAATAATAACGCATCCAGTATTTAGATTTTTCGTTCTTCATAACAAACTACCGTTCTTTTTCTTTCACTTTTGCCTATCCTTTTCTTTCTTTCCTTGGCGCATACTTACACGTCCTAGCGTCGATGATTCTCTCTCACTTTTTGTTTCTCTGGGTCGCTCTTTTTTCTTCTCCTTCGTCGCATAGAGTATATATATATGTATGCATACGCATCTCTTCATTGCTCGCTAACAGTATAACATTAAATAGTGAGTAGAAGTACAATATGGTGAAGGATTCATGATGATTTTATTGAACTATCTGCAAGTAGTAGACAATTTTGTGCTTCATCTTTTTAAGATTTTTGCTACGAACTCAAAACAAACTTAGTCAATCATGGGTGGAAAAGAATCAAAAAAAGCACGAACATCTACAGAACTTACTGCGAAAGGTTTACTATTTTGAATGATATTCTTTTTGTTTATTTTACTAATATTTTAAATTCTAGAAATCGATATGCTTAAAGCTAATACTAAATATACCGAAAAGGGTAAGCGTTTAATTTAATTAATATGTTCACTTATCTATATATTTTAATGTTACTATTTTTAGAAATCCGAGAATGGCATGCTGTAAGTATTCTGTTTTTACTGGTTAACGTTTCTAGTCATGTTTTTGCATTATTTATTTTAACCTTAGGGCTTTTTACGTGATTGTCCAACTGGTAAACTTGATAAAAAGAAATTTGTCGATGTTTACAAGCAATTCTATCCACAAGGCAAAGCCGATTCTTTCTGCAAGTAGGTCATTATACGGTTCATATTTCATTGTTATATTTTTTGGGCTCTCTTTTTTCTGTTCATTGCTATAGGTATGCATTTACTACGTTTGATGCCAATAATGATGGTACAATTGATTTCGACGAATTCCTTTTGGCTATTGCGGCAACAAGTCAAGGTGATATAAATGATCGACTTGAAGTTGCATTTGAAATGTAAATATTCAATGAAATTAACATTTTTTTCAGTTGAATTTCTTAATTTGCTACTGTAGGTACGATGTTTCGGGTGATGGTCAAATCGATCAGAAAGAATTAGCTAATCTAATCTCAGCTATGGTAAAAACTTTTTCATAATGCTGTTTTATTGAACTAAATTTTTTACGTGATCATTTAGTATGACCTTGTTGGTGAAGTTGATCGTAAAGGTGATCGTGAACCAAAGAAGCGTGCAGCTGAAATTATTGCTAAACTTGATGTAGGCGGTGATAAGAAGTTAAACAAACAAGAATTCATTGCTGGGTATATATTCATTAGGTTTTCTCTCTATCTCTCCTAACATTTATGTTTTGTTTTTATTAGATGTAAAAATGATGCAGTTATCCGTCGCATGCTTGCACCAAATGTCTAGACAACTGAACGTATTCGTGTTTTTTTTTCTGGAAACACGTACAATCATAGACCAGACTGATTTCTATCGTTTTCACATGACTATTTTGCCTTTTTCTTTTTTGTAATCAACCACCGTCAATGTTCAATAATTGTATTAGCGAATAAGTGTGTTACATAAACAAACAGTTCATTAGCATTTTTCTCATTGTTATTTTGTCACTATTCCAATAACGGCGTAGGCAAAAAGTATCATTCTAAATATATATATATATATATATATATAAATTTTTATGGTTTCTAAATAGTTTCGGTAAGTGAATCGACACATTGGTTAAGGTCATTAAGACAGCAATAATATATTTTATAACATTGACAAAAGAGAGTATAAAGAGTCTTTTTTTCCGTAACTGTCGGAGTCATTCCAATTATAATATAATCTATATAAACATTATTGACGTAAAAATCGTTGATATTGACTTAAATTAACAAATTCAATAGATCGCGTTGTATTAGAAAGCATATATTATGCTAATAGAAGAATATTTTCTTTCAGTAAAATCCAAAATAATCTCAAGTAATACAAACTCATAGGAATTGATTAAGTCTGATTAATGAAAGTTTCTGCTTTGAAATTACTATTCGATTTCTAGTCGTACATCTACTCCTTTCATTAAGACATCAGTAGACATATAGGTTAATGTGGAGGTTCAGCAATGTTGATAGAATTTTTCGGGTACGGTTTTTTTTAATTTGAAAACTTTTATTACCTCCGAGAAACTGTCAAGTGGAGAAAAATGATAGAAAATATGTTTATAAAAAAATTTATTTAAAAATAGAACCTCTTGAAAAATGCTTTTTAGGAGTCGGAAATTTTCAAAATTTAATTATTTATTCCAGTGGCACCTGCTACAGAAATAAATACTACAATTCACTCAGTGGGTTTACATTTTTACTAATAGATAATATTGATCAAGTGGAATTTTACATTAGAGGTGGAAGAGACTTTTTTGTTATATTGATTTTCCGAATGAAGCGTCTGTATTTATTATCGGTAGAAAAAAAAGTAGAAGTTTTTCTTTCTCAATTAAAATTCTCTTGATATTTCACACACTCTTAGAATATTTAGTCAATTGCATGTATTGACATTGAAGAAAAAAATAATTAAGAATGAATATTTGTTGATTTAAAAAGTATTTAAGACAATAGTAAGAAGCACACCAAGCAGATTTTACGTTTCATATTTCTTTTTACCTTCTTCATCTAACCGCAATAATACGTATAAAAGCAAGGACCAACGAAGAAACATGATATTGAAACTTTAAATTAAATCTTGCGCAAAACGAGTAGTAAAACCTTTTTTTGAAATAAAATCAATCCAAATATTTTCTAAAAATTTCTACTATAACAAATTCTTTACATTGATGAAGTCCTACAGATTCTAGGTTTGATTATGATCGATTTTTCTTTTATGTCTTCTTGTCATATTTTGTTTTAATGGAATTCATAAATTAATATTCAATAGTTTTAGGTGCATTGAGTACGATCAGCATTGCTTGCTATCTATTTTGATCTTTTTTTTAAACAAATAACTCATTACATAATCAAACAGAACTAAGTGACGGGTCACTGACAGAATTAACATAAAACTGATTAAGATGAGAATTTGCACAACAACTAATATTCTATTAATTTCCATAGCGATCTTCTGACTCTATATGACATTTGATTTACTCCTACTATGCTATATATAAGAATTCTATAACTACAAATTTGAGGTAACTGATCTGTATCACAATATATATATATATGTCGTATCGAAGTTATAACTTCGACAGAGAAATTTGTCGAAGTCATTTTTAATTCACTTATCAATAAATAATTTGTCAAAATGAATATTCTGATGCTAAATGTATGATAGAAAATTAAGTTTTTTCTAACAACTACTCATTTATTTAACGATATCGTTAAATAAATGAGTATTTGGTAGAAAAGACTTAATTTTTTTATCATACATTCAGCATCAGAATATTCATTTTGGTAAATTATTTATTGATAAGTGAATTAAAAATAACTTCGTCACATTTATACGACGAAGTTGTAACTTCGTCAAAAATGTTGACGCAGTTATAACTTCGTCGACCGGTGTAACTTCGATACGACATATATATGTTGTAAAGGACATCAACTGCAATTTAAAACATCTGTTTGTCTTCTACAAGTATATAAAAGATACATTATACACGTTAGTTAAATATTTTTATTTGAATACATCTCTGGTGGAAATAGGACTGAACTTTCCTATTAGTTGTTGCTATAAATGGACTGATTTCCATATGTAAGCATTGTGCGGAAGTAGATTCCGTATCGAAATAATGCAAATAAGATTGTCGAGATTTCATTTGATCATACACGTATTTCTATAGATTCCTGATTCACAGTGCGATTAATCAATGCTATCGAAACAATAGAAACTGATGAGACAAAGGCGATAGTTATATACCAAGTGATGTTGATGTCGGCTGCATGGGCTATTAACTATGAGAGGAAAACAGGAAACATTTAGCGGAAAGGAAAAGCAATATGTTTCTTCGTCAAATTAACGATCTACTACTTGTATACATGACAGAAAAAAAGGTTTCAATTCCGAGAGATCATACTTTTCTTTTTACTCACAGAATTAATTAGAAACTTTGGATCTAAACTTGACGTTCCCAATTATTGGAAACAACGTTAATACTATTTTTAAATTAAGAATCGTTATCTTACGCAGTCTCGTCAATAGACGATGAATATTGAAGCAATTTCACATGCAATGTATGCGACGTGTTACAAAGTAAGAATTTGTTTTTTAAGGCAACAAAAATGTCAGCTTCTTGAGGATATTAATATGATTTCTTTATTGATCATTGATTATGAGATCGCGAAATGTTTTACTCTATCAAGTTTCTCTTGATTTAATAGGTTGAACGAACGGATTAAACGTAAATCACAATTTGAATACAGATAGTTTAATATTTCGTTCATAAGATTTTGTGGAACTCACATATATTTTCGAAGAAAATAGTGAGTGTAAGTTGAATTGTTAGGTTTTTACGGCTCCCCTGTACCCCTCCCCCCTCATTACAGACACAAAACATAAAAAAACTAACACTTAAATGCACTAATTAGAAACGTTTTTGGTACAGACGTTAGCAACGAGTGTATGCTACCGCTACAGGAGCTAGTAACTAGTTTATGCTACTATTACACTCGTTACTTCTACCACCTACAATAAACAGATGAAGATTTTAATCTTTTTTTCTCACACAAATACCTTATTGTAGAGTTTGAATCCACTTTAGTGTAATTATTTACAATTCGCAACTTTTCATCCACTGGGAAGCTTGTATTAAATTTTCGTTTATGAGAAAAGGTATAAATTTCTCACCTGATAATACGAAAAAAGGTATAAATTTCTCAACAATATTGATAGCTATATCATAAATACTGTTTAAACTATTATCATTCACAATATTTCTCAATGAAACTACTAAACACTTCAGCATACTGACATGTTCTAAACAAAAAGCTTTTCATACGGTCTCGCTAGTAATATTTCGTATTGATAGATCCAATAAATTTGAAATCTTAAAAAGGTTTTATTATCTTAGTTTTGAACAAAATATGATCTCACTGCATTGAAAAAATAAAACTTCTATTTGATCAGTATCTAACTGACCGAAATATGTGAGTTCCACATTTTAGCCTCAACGGGGCTGCGCTGAAAAGCTTTTTAGTTCTGAAATGTTGTGTCATCTGGTATTGCAACTTGAGAGTTTAATCTTTTAGACAATTAGAGCGCCAATTAAACATTGTTTGATAAGATCAAAATGCTCTCGATTAAAATAAATTCGTCGCAAGAATCATCCCCAAATGATGAACCGTTAAATATTAATTTTAATGATCGCATTAATTCTCTTAATCTTTCACTTATGCATCACCTAGAATCATTGCCAAATACGAATTTGTCTCTCGAGCAAATTTTTCATCGTATTCCGGTTATATTTCGATTTCTTCATAAAAGTCTTCAATCTCAACAGAAATTTTCCAATGAATATCATTATCTATCTGATACTATCCAAAATATGATTTCCATTTTTTCACAATATGTTCATGATCGACATGTTCACGAAAATGAACTTTTCGCTCTGAAAGAGAAAATCACACAACTTATTGGACAAATCGGTTATACACAATATAGTTTAGAACAATATTGGACAATTATTTATAGTCTAGAACATGAAATTGAACGATTACAAATGCTTCTGCAAAATCCACAGGTCTTACAAGTTAATCTACAGAAATTTCAAGCGCTTCAAGAAACACAAAAGATTCATTTAGATCGATTTATTAAGGGAAATGAAAAACTAAAAATTTTAATTAAAAAACAGAAAAATTCCGTTGAATTAATACAAACACAAATTGAAACTGATCTTGAAGAATTACAACGATTAAAACCAATATTAGATAGAGTCAAAGCAGAAGAGAAAGATGTTAATAATCATCGGTCACAAATAGGTTTGTCTTTTAAAAATAATCATCAAATTAACGACGCCTCGTTTCTAGAAAAACAAAATTTACACCTGCAAACTATTATTGAAACAACTAAAAATATGGAACATGAATACAATGATCGAATGAAAACAACACAAAATCAATATGATCTTGTACAAAAACAATTTAACGATTTAAAAAATAATTATAATCAAAATAATCAAAATCTATTATCAATTCAAGCAAATGAAACAAATGTACAGTAAAAAATCTCTATATGGAGCACCTTCTTATAGTGGATAATAGGCACTCAAAACCGGGATCTTCTAAGGTTCTGTCACTCATAAACTGAACAAAACAAAATCAGTCTTAGATATTTTCATTCTCCATTTGACCCTGAGATCAGTATTAATAGAGTTTTGTTTGCTGTTCGATGTTCTTACATAGTTTGAGTTCTACTCAATCAATGAACTTTTTAGCATGACTTCACTCGTAATACATAAGGGAAGAAACGACCGAGCAAGAACCTGCTCTTAGGAAAAAAATACCTAGTGCTATGTGCATTGAGCTATAAAGAACAGTCCTAAAACGAATAAGAAAAAGTATTAGAATTACATGGGGCATGTAAAATGCGTAGTGTAATTATCGTGTTGCTTTGCTTTTGAACAGTTAGTAACATAAAATCCTGTCAAGTTATGTCTCTCTTCTTCTGATCAATAATACTTAAATAGTATTATATAGATATTCGAGAGCGGTTTAACGCGCGATGATTTCATTTCATATTTTTAACTTTTTTTATCAAATTAGATAAAACAAGAAATTGAAAATGTTAAAAATCAAATCAATGCAGGTTCGAACTAAATTTTTATTGAACCCATCAAACAAAAACGATTGAATTTTCTATAGAACAAACTCGTTCGATGGGTTATCGTGATAAAATACAAAATCTACAGCATCAAACACATGAATTCGAACTCGTGAAACGTCATGAAAATAATATAATTAAATCCGAAGAGCATAAGAATATAAGATTAGAACGTAAACAATTAATGCTTCGGCACAATCGGCTAAAACTTGATAATCATATTCAGTATCTAACCGAACAATTAAATCATATAATTAAAAAGAATCAAACCAATGAACATATTATTACGATAAATAATATTCACCTTAAAGATCAACAAAATAAGATAACAACAATAAAAATCGCTTTAAGAAAGTTTATTCATTTAAATAATAATTTCGAAAAGATTTTACAAGAAAATCGATTTATTCGAATAGATGAACAAGAAAAACTTCGTTCAATTAAACAAATATCATTTCAAAAACGAAAACAACTGATTACACATCGGAAGCGTCTTCATATTTTATCTACTAATGAACATAATTTAATCGATAAAACGATTCGGAATTCATTTGAAATTATCCGATTAAATAGTATTTTTCATAATATTAATAGTACAGAAAAAGTAGAACATTTTTTTCCTTCGTTTCCATAATGAAAACAAATATACTTTTCAATGTTCTAGTATTTTCAATCGATGGTACGAAATAAAAAAACGGAACTTATGAAGTAAAATTAAGCGAAAAATCCAATCGTTTGATTTGAAATTTCCTAAAAATTTAGACGTGAAAAAGAACGTACTTCACTAAGTCATTATCTTCGTGATCATAATGATCGAACTCATTTTCTCAGTAAAAAACATCAATTAATTGAAAATGAACTCGCGAGTAAAATTGATCATTATCAATTACTCGATAATAATTTACTAAAACAAAACTATACTCAAATTATTATATCGAACCGAAAGCAACATGTCATTTATTTGTATAAACAAAAATTGCAAATCTTAAATGGTCTTGATACAAAAAATAATCAATTAGAATCATTATCTGATAATGAAACGCATCGTATTATAAACAAAACTCATGAAAACGAACAATTAAAATTAAATATTCATAATCTTAAACAACAAATAGCAAATACAATAAGTAAAAATAAACGTCATTTAGATGAATATTCATTATTGGATGAAAAAATTCGTTTATATACACAATTAGATGATATTTATAATCAGCAGCAACAACAATGTTCATTTCATATAGATCAATTTTCTCGTCGTATCTTACATTTACAACAAGAGAATAAACAATTATTGACTAGTCTGCAAAACGTACGAAAAGAAGCTATAGTTACTACAACCTATCAGCATAGTAAAGTGTTGAAAAATGATGATTTGCATCGCATCTTATCTTATCGACCATTAATTGGCCGCGACAGTCCAACACGTGTTCATACTGATAAAGCATTAGAAAACTATTCAACATTGACAAAAAGATATTCGCAAATTATTCATGAATGTGTGCAATGGCGAGAAAAACTTGCATGGATTAATCAACTTTATTCTGTAAGTTACCAATAGATTTTTTACGAGGTAACAAAGCGTTTCCTATTTGTTACTAGACAAAAATCGAACAAATTCATCAGCAAACGATATCGTTTTCGACAAATCATAACATGATCTTACGATATAAAATAGATTCGAAAATAAAAAAATGTAAAGCAAGAAAAGCTGAATCTCGTTTGCGAACGCATTGATTTATATTCATGAATGTCAACCAATAATTCATCTAATCTATCTTGAAATTCTTTCAAGTTCAAAGCCCTCATTTTTGTTTTTGCATGAAAACCTTAGGCCGCTCATTGAGAAATAATATTTAGGGCAACACGTCAAATGGTCATGTTCGCTTACTGCCATGTCACGTTGAATACACCAGCTCTTGTCCGATCACTGAATGATCAACTGACTGATGTGAATGGGTCATTACAGTATTTCTAAAATGAATTCACTTATGCACTTGTCTAGTTGACTTTTAAATCTGGGGGAAATAAAAACCTAATTATACACAAAAAATAGGCGTAGCTCACAATATTTTCTATAATAGTTTCGTTCTGGCGCTTCTACTTTTTAAAGTCTCTTAGTGTCCTTCACCACCGACATCACAGATATTCTTCGTTTCATTGACTCTGTTGAAATAAAATGGGTAAGCAACAATAGCAAGCAGGCCAATAGAATGATATTCTTACACATATCACCCAGGCCAATGATTCCGGAGAACGGATACTGCGGGAACCGGCAGGAAAATACGGGAAAAACCACCATATCCTGCCTGAAAGCACAGGAAATCGCTGGGAATTCACAGGAAAAATTCCGACGGCAATACTGCTTCCACGTTCCAGTGTTTTCCTGCCGTTCTCCGCCGTACGAGCCCGACCTGGCTTGTTGATTTTTCTACTGTAAATTGTTGTTCAAAATTCGGATAAGAAAACCAGTCAAAATGAAACTCTTTTTCTCAATAAAACATAGATGAATATACAATGAGAACAGTTTCTAATGAATTGTAATCTAGTTGATACGTTTTCATGATATATAATTGTTTTCTTACGATTTGTATAACTCGAACAGTATCCCATGGTATTTTAACTTTCTAATGCTGTGCGCTGGAAAATGCGAGTTCATTCGAAAAATTTCTCTCATGAGACAATTTTTTAACTGTGAAATCATTTTGAGATTAGAAAAATTCGATATTTATTAAAAATAGATGAAAACATCTGGTTTGCTTTTTTTTTGAAATTTTCACGTATTGAGTAGTGTTGTACTCAATGTTTGTCTCTATGAGCACAAAATCACTATCAATCTAAACAATTAAATTTAGAATTAGAGCAAAGAAGATGAAATGGATGACAATAATAGTCCCTAGAGTAAAGCCGTTCGACAGTTGGGACGTTTTTTTCTATCAGCGATGATTTATTTGATAAATTACGATCATCACGATACATTTCGTCCGTAACATAAAACATGCTGAGAACGATGCCCGATTTTTTTGCGAGATATATCATGCACTATTGCAACTTTCCTTTTATTTGATTGTTTATATTGTCGTACAAAATATGCAATAAGGCAAAAAGTATTATGTGCACAAGATTGTTTGATTCGATGCATATAAGTTTTTGAAGAGACTACTGATAAAGTTGTTTTTGATATCTTGTTGCATTGTACGTTACTAATCATACTAATGAAATTCATCATTTACTGTCGGAAATTCTATTATTGAATAATCAAAAAAAAAGTAAACAATGTGAAGCGTTTTCTAATATTTAAAAATTTAACAATATATGCGTGTATTTAGATTGATTTTCCTTCGTACTATTTGTCTACTGGTTTTCCTAGGAAAATCAATTTTAAGAACATAAAAGTGGAATCGGAAATGGAAGCAAAAGTATGGAATTTAACATTGGCATTTATTTATGATCTATCAATAGACATATGAGACGGCTTAGAAGCTTACTAATTATAGCTACCGAAAGTATGGCTATTGAATACATTTCTCAATAGAGGAATTTATCGCCAAATTCAAGGATATCGCTTGATTGCGGGCATATTTTCAGTTCTCGCCCACACTGACGACCTTTTAATGGGTTCTACATATGTTCTCGACTAACAAAAGATGAATTTCGATTTATATTACATGACTTCTCCGAATAGAAGACAGGAGCGTATGTCTAATGTACATATGGATTATCAATTCATATCATAACATGCATTATAAACATACATCTCAGTGTCCTGATAAATCGCAAGGGGACGTCCTTTGCAAATAATTATTTCGCTGGAATCCTGACAAGCGCTGCGATGTATGATTATAAATCATTCAGTTATCAACATAAACACTACTTATGTAAATTAATTTTAGACTTCGCTGATGAGATGTGCTGCCGGTATGCAATTTTTTAGTTCCTCCATAATTATATCATATAGATAAAAGAAAAATTAGAAAACATTCGCCATCATTGTCTTATCGACAAAGGCATGCTTACATGTTTTCCACCTCCATTATGTGTCAATGTGCCACAAAGTCAATTTTTCTGTTCTATTCATAATCAGAATGCTATCGCCACGTACATTCTACTTCACAATCCAACAGTAAAAAGAAAAGAGGAAGAATGCGAACAATCAGAAACAACAGCCGTATAATCTACATATGTATATATTGGTAGTTCGTCAGTGATTATTCTAATTAGCGCACATTAAACTTTGAGAAAAATCTATGAAATAATAAATTGATAAAAAAGATTTGTTAGACTCATAGAAATTTCTTGATTTTATTATTTGACACTTGTTTTTACAAATGATTCCAAAATATTCATTTTTGAGAAACAACTTAATGCTTCTGGTATGTTTTGCAAACAATCGGTGGTCTTACCCGTTTCATCATTAAATAATGAGTATCAAGCGAGTTGCTTGTATATGACTCATTTGGTTTATTAGTAAGGATAATGTTTTCATAAAAAAATTCTTCCTTTCAAATAAATGCAAACACGTCAATATGTACTAATTTTATACTATCGATAGAATCAGAACGGTAATAAATTTATAGAATAAGACTTCATAAAGTGTAAATTATGACCGATAATGTTATCAGTGATCATTATATAGAAACGTTTATCAAATCAATTCATTTTTGAAAGACACTCGTTTTTCTTATTGAAATATTTTCCCCTACAGTAACATGTTTTGAAAGGTTGCTGCGTATCGCATAAGGTTTTCGTCCTTGAAAGATATCATCATAATTGAACAACTATGACTATCAGTTATAAATAAAAGAGATAAAAATCCTGGAAAAATTATAGACCAGACATCAGAGGCTACATCTTTCAATGTTAGAAGAGTGTCAAATTATATTCTTTATCACATGTTTCTGTAAGCTATCACCTAGAGAATCATTAATAAAGAATGCAATTATGAATAGATTTTCTTTGAAAATAAAAAGGAACGGTTGATTCTGGAACAATGATTTTCCTAGAAGAACTTTGAAACATCCAACAGCAAAGACAGATGACAATTCGTTAAAGAAAATGTTTCGAGAAAATTAACGTCTGTTGAAGAGCTTGGCATCATTATTATAATGCTCCTCTGTAATATATTAAACTATTGAGCTTTTTCCTTTATTAGATTATTTTTTATGAATAAAATTTATCATTTTACTTTGAGAAATAAATCAATATCTTTTTGTTATTTTATTTTATTTTATTTTAATGACAGAATCAATGAAGACAAAGAAAATATATTACACAAAAGTGATATGCTGCGCATGAACATGACGATAAGATGTTTGATTTTGCTGATTATTATCGTTTTCATCCAGTTTATATCGAACATTACTTAATTTCTTCCAAGGATTTTCGCCACCTATAACTAAATTTGATGTTACCGGTTTCAATTGTGCATATTGCGAATGATTTGATGTTGCTAAAAATTCTGTTGCTTCATCATCATGTATAAATGTATGTTGAAGTTGATGATGTCTCTCAGCATCTGTACATGCACTATTAAAAACTGAACCACTTTCACTTGTAGCATTGCCTGTTTGAATAACTTCATCATTTAGATTTAAAGCGGAATTATCCGATTTCGAAGCATACAAAGAAACTTCTGTTGGAAAATCTGTTGATGTATGTCGTCGTCGTCGATTGGCTGCTGCTAATTCGTCAGCATTATTATTACTTGTACTTGGACGTTCAAGTGATGGTTGATGAGACGATAATGTTGTTTTGAATTTCACGTGTATATTTTTGGACGGATTGAATAGAACAATATAAAGTTTAGGCGCAAATAAACATAAAAGTATGACAGTAGCTGATAAACTAAGGCAAATCGCAAGACTAACCAATTGAATCTAATTATTTAAAAGAAAAGCAAAGTAGAAGAACAATATTAAAATTATATTTATATTTAAAACTTACACGAAACCAATTATCACTACTTCTCAAGCCGAAAAATATCGGTATGAAAGCTAACCATATAATACATACAGAATACATTGCAAAACCAATATGTTTCGCTTCATTGAAATTTTCGGGTATATGTCTTGTTTTAATTGCGTATAATGTACATGATATAACAAGTATCATATTATAAACTAAAGAACAAGCTATATATTCATTATCGGTTTGGCAAACTAATATTAAACGTTTTTGATTATGTTTTATTTCAGATTTTAATTTAATTGCTGGCGGCGATATAATTATCCAGAGAAGAACACCGATCAATTGTATACTGACAATGCCGCCACAAATACCCAATTGAGAACGTGGCGAAAGACAAGATGGTTGTGTTAAACGTTGACTATTATTAAATATTCTTGCTAAACGATTTGTTTTTGTTAAAAGTGCAGCTAAACATATTGTTAAACTTAAACTAACACCAATACGTATTAAAAAACATGTTACTAAATGGGGTTTAAATATAAGTGGCCAGGCACATAAATGACAGCAGCACATGCCAGATAAAAGAAAATAACTTAATTCGCGTGACGATGCTTTTATAATTGGTGTTTGAGCAAAACGTATAAAAATAACAATTGTATATATGGTCATTAGAATACCGACCGATGAAAGTATCAGTGCTGGCCATGCTATTATGTCCTGTGCAGATAAGTATTCTTGTTGAATAGGTATACATTTTGAAAAATTTGAATTCGGAGCTTCGTTCGCTGGACATGTAAAACATGTTGTCTCATTAATAGCTATATGAAATACGTCACATGAACGGCATGTCCAACAACATTGTTGAGAGTCTGTACTTGTACGAATTTCACCTGGGTGACAAGGTTCACTACAAAATGATCGAGGAGTTGCCGATGTTAGAGTCCAATCGGATAGATCTTGATTATATTTAAACCATTTTAATGATTGAAGATCAATACGAACTCTATTCAATAGGCAAACGTTTTTATCATTCGTTTAAATGATGAAAGATTTTCTTATAGGTGAGTAAATAACAATTTTCTTTTACTTAATTTCTCATTTGAAACCTTTTATTCCTCATGTTTTCTTTGTTTGGACTTTATTCTCGTTTTGATCAGTCTCATGAGACTATAATCATTTCGTTATTGTTTCTTCTGTTAGCTATATATATATATATATATATATATATAACAGTAGATTTTTAATCATTGATTTAAAGCATAATGATATTAAAAGATTGATTGAAAGGCGAGCAATGAACAAATTAAATTCGTTCTGTTTAATCAAAGTCTTATATTTAGAAGTTCAACTGTTCATTCGCAAGGGAAATCTACTAACCGATAGATTGCTTTCAACTCGAGACACAGTGCATTAGGCTAACCTGAATAAACTGTGAGTAACCTAAAAGAATTTTTTGTGGTTAGCTTATTGATACGAAGATATTGTAATTTTAAATCATTCATTGTACAAATATTGTACTCTTGCCCAACGAATCCACAAGGATTGATTTTTTAAATAGAAACCTTACATTTTGCATAGAGATCAAGCTTAATTAGGGTGGCTTATCTCAGCGATTTAATAAATATGATACCAAGATAGTTGTATCTTAAGATAAGAAGTAAGATAAGACCTAAAAAAATGCATAAAAAGGCTATTCTTTTTTTTTTTTTTATAAAGGTTTGTCTCTAGAAAAAGTTTTAATTAGAAGCACAAAAAATTAATATTATAAATAATATCCATACGAGAGACGCCCATATTCAAGTTTTTTTTTAAATACCTTACAAGTGTAATATGTCAGCCATTATAAATTAAGATTATGCATTTATTTCAATACAATTTCTGCTTGGCGCATCATAGAATTTTTCTCTTGACAAAAGATATAACTTTAATTTCGTTTAGTGTTTACTCGAAGGCACAGAGAACAATGGAATAGAGAATCTCATGTTAAACATGAACTAATACAAAAATGAAAGCTTTTCTTTAAAATTTACTATTAAACTGTTCATCGAGATTTTCATTGAGGAAAATATAAAACAAAATAGCCTCGTGTGAAAAACAAAAAGGAATTCTTTTTGCTGGATGAATCAGTTGCTAAACGGATCAATTTTAACCTGCTTCGATAAGTACTAATTAGCTTTGTGTGAAAATATTGAAGTAATGTTTCTACAATCATGCAATTTTCACATATAATCAGATTTATTCCGAGATAACGAACAAATTTTTAAATTAGATTTTTATATTGATATGCAATTTGAAGAAGTATAGTGCTTCATAAACTATTTTACAGGTATATACATTGTTATCATCTTAACGAAAAAATAATTCACTTAGTATAACGAACAACGAAAAGTACCAAGAAAAATATTCGAACTAATGCTAAGAAGTGATAATATCATATATCCATGTATAAGAACAAAGCAATAGGAAAAAAGCCTCGACTTTATTGTTTTGCATACATATAGATATAGTCTATCTGTCTTAAAATATAATTAACTTTTTTTTCTATTAGAAGCCTATTTTAAGCGACAAATCATTAGATTGTCTATCACCATTGAGAAGTACATATAAACGATTTTTCCCTACTAATTGCAACGTCATGATATGACATGATCTCGATAATTGCATGTTTTAAAGAATACTACACCAATTATCATCTTTCCTCGACCGATGATATTCTCCTTAGATACAACTAATATTCCTTAGAGAATTGCCAATTGATAAAGTCTTGTCAAAATATGTACTCAATCGATTATTAATCTATGGCAAGCTATTATCAGGATATAACAATGTTCTTTTACCTTTCATTAGTGTGATCATTATCACTAAATTCACCAATAGTAAAATAATCTTGAGTATCAGTTGAATTAGTAATTTGATATTGAAATATATCATAAGTTCCAATACCATCACCAATACTTGTAAATTTAATATAACGTTTTGATAATTCTAAATAAAGAAAAACAACCGAAGCAAACAACTAGAAGAAATAGAAAAACAAAACGTTTTTTTCTCGCTCTCTTACCATTACGAAAAGTAGTACTTCGTAAAATTGAAACTAATTTCGCTCCATCAAATGGGAAGAATTCTTTACATAAAGCTCCAGTCTTCAAAGAATTCACACATTTCTCATCAATTAATTTCTGTACAGAAATCGCAAGTGCAAAGACGGCATCGACAACATAATGAACATAACCTTCTTGAGAATATGGTACAGATAGATTTGTATGCGTATTATCCGTATCTAGATAATGATTAGAAAATATATATTAATGTAGAAGAGAACAAAAACACACAAACCTGAGCATATTCGTGTATAATTTTGGTTGAAAAATGTTTTTGGTGATTCTTCAAATTTACATTTATATGTTTCTTCCCAATATTCTCGAAACCATGGATTCCGAGTATTTAGCGATGGATTCAAACTATTAAAATAATCATCAAATTCTAAAAACAAATAATAGTATAGGACTATTTTCTTGTGTGCTTTTGTTTTATACCCGAAATTAAATATAATTTTGGTGCTATTGTTATTGCATTAATAGCAGCACGTCCAAAATTTCCTAGTGGATACGATTTTTTTCCCCATCCATCTGTACCAAGAAAAACCCACCGACCATTTAATTCTTTACGTGACGATGTTTGATTGAGTATTTGCCTAGATATTTGTTTCAATATATAAAATATATCTTTCATTTATTTATTTTTTCATTCCATTACCTAACAGAATCTTCTTGTGCAAAAACAATAACACCAACAACAAAACGATATTTCTCATCCTCATGTAATTCTTTGATAACACGTATGTAAGAATTTGAATCTTTTACATTCACCGATAGTTCACCAGCAATACAGATTGCTTTTTGAATGAAAAAAATGAAAGAAAATTTTTTTTTCCTATTAAATAATGATGAGAAAAAGTAAAAAAAAATAGTAGATACTTTTATTCTTTAGCTTTGCTTTAAAGTCATCGGTTAGCCGTTCACCATAGGAACCGGTTTCTTTAATAACAGCAACATAGGTCCAATTGAGAAATTGAATAATACTGACCACCTAGAGTGTGTGAAAAATATAAAAAAAAAAGAACGAAGAACATGCGCGAATGAAACAGGAAAAGTAATATTAATTAATCCATAAATACTAACAGCTTCTGCTTGATATGTGTCGGGAGGAACAACGCGTGAAAAGTATTGAAAACGTGGCTTTTGACTTAATTCTGTGCTTGTTGACGCATAGGATATTTGTGGAATCTATTTAATAGGAGAAAAAAAAGGTAATCATAAATTAAACTAGTAATAACAGTGAAACAATTCTTTTTTTTTCCAAATGTCGTAACCAAAAAATGTATAGATATCTTTTCTAACGGGACTTCAATTGCCATTATTATTTCTATTAAATCGTCAAGCTTCTATTTGTTCTATAAGCACGTATTTCTCCAGTTCAACTTCTTTTCAGAGAGGAGAATTATCATTCATGATAATTTAATAGAAAAAATAAAATAAAATGCTATTTTTTTCCATCGAAAATACCTCAGCTAAACGAAGAATATCTGCAATTGCCATTGAAACAATACTTGATGCACTACCAATCACACCAGCAACAAACGATGAGGACTGATTTTGTTTGCTTGATGGTATACATTGATCAAGAGATGGTAATAACATATTAAGTGCACGTTCTACGGCATAAGATTCATAATCGCATGAATCATATATCAACGCACCAAAACGTATGTTATGTTTATTAAGTAGCGATGACATAGAATACGATGATCGATTATTAATAACATCTAAGGCAAATAGCATTGCTTCCAGACGTTGAATGCCACGCTCGCGTTTAATAGCTGTGCACTGATTAGAACCGAATTCATATGAAGGCGGTTGATGAATCGGGAAAAAGCCACCAAGTACAATATCACCTAAATTTCATGTTTTCTTTTTTACGAGAGAAATTTATTTATCTACCTGGTATATAGATAAAATCATAAGGTGGACTGTGAGGAGCACGAAATTCTGGCGTATGATAATGATGAATATATGTTCGCCTATTATCATCCCGATCACAATTGCTATTGTCACTTAGAAATGTAATCAATATAAGGATGATTAATAACAACCCGACACGCGGCAATGACACGATGAGCATCGACAATTGAGAAGTTGCATACGCATATATACACACACATATGCTCTTGATCTGGCTCTCTAACTCTCTCTCTCTTTCTCTCTCTCTCTCTCTCTCACTTGCGCTAGCGCTCTCGTATTTATCTTCACCAAGTCAGATTGAAACTCAAATAAATTCTTTCAAGAAAATATTTGAGAAAGAAACCGCTCGAGCATTTACGATGAGACGCATATTGGTTGTCAAAAAAATGGAATTGAGTAAACTTGTCGACGCCAGACAGGCAAACGAGCGGCAATGATGATAATAAGAGACGGCGATCGACTTTCTCTCTCTCTTTCTTCTCTCAGCTCTGTCTCTTTTTTTCGTCTCCTCCTCCTCGTCGTCTCTCTTTCTGTGCCGTTATTATCGAGCTTGAACACAACAATCACCCTCGCTTGGTTGCTCACGTAGATATATGACGAAAGAGAAGTAGAAGGAAAAGAGCTAGCAAACTATGTCGAGAGAGGGAGAAAAGAAGAAGAAAAAAAAGGAAAAGGTGAAAAATTCTAAAAGAATAACAAGATTTCTTTACTTTTGTTTCTGCTCTGTTATTGATAAGCAAACGAGATACTCAAGTAAAACTCATCCTTACTAATTATACTTGCCTTATCATCATCACAGTCAATGACGCCCTTTTTTTTGCGCTGTTTTTTGGTGTACACTTCAGCGATCATCTTTTAGTTAGTAATTGTTATCAAGCAGGTGCAATTTTCCTATAGTTAACATATAATTTTAATTCGAGTTCTTATTTTCACTCACTCAATATAAGAGGATATGTTAATCACATTTTATCCTCATTTCTTTCAAGTGTTCTTTTTATTAAGAGAAAAAACAACTAGTGACTCATTGTACAGTCCAACGTCATTCAAAGGATTGTGAAATGAAAAATAAAAAATCTCATTTACCATTCTCTCATTTTCAAATAGCTTATTAATTATGGAAATCGGATATTAAACGAATGGATTCAAAGGAAATATATGAACAGAATAGAAAACCGAAACATGACTTTTGTGGAAAAGTTCTCTCTCGAAGATAAATAATTACCAGAAATGAATAAAATCATGAAACGGAAAACATCTCAGAATGTAAGAGGATAGATAAGAGCCTGTGCTTTTTGTTTGAGGTCAGGAAAAATCTTTTGGTTTCCTCCTTCTTTATTTTTTGGATTATGAAAGAAATTTTCGACGAGTATATAGGCATGCTAAATGATTTCGAGTGGCCTATTCAATAAATGCCAGTACTGAGCCTTTTGATTAAAATATACTAGAAGAAGATTCTCTGGATTTTTTTCTTCTTTGTTCGACCGATATTTTCGAGAGACAAATATATAATATATATCGATGTAAGTCATAATAAAAGGGAAGAAAAAGTAGAACAAGAAGTTTTTCTTCTTTTTCTTCTTTTTTTTTATAATGGAAGTATTTGTGTAATGCCTATTGAATAGTTGTTTGAGCAGTGATCAAAAAAGTCAATAAATTGATTATGAACATGGGTTTGATTGAATTTTTAGGTTGAAGATAATTATATTCGGGCTATTCATTTATTTGACAAATAATGTTTCTCTGTTTAGTTTAAAAGGACTGCATCAATACAAATAATTTGGGTTTGTCTTATATAAGAAATGATCAAATTTTATTGAGAAATATTTATTTTGTTACAATAGAAATACACTTCCGGTACCTGTAGTAATATGACAGAACTAGTATTCTTTTCTCTCTTTTCTTTTTGTCTCAACACTTCATTAAAGAAGAGTGGATTGATTATTTATAGGCACTTATGCCAAAATATTATGAAATGTTCTTTTATTAAATGAAGGATATCATAGAACTAATGTAAGTCGATGACATCGAGCTACACACGTTGGCCAAAGAAATATTGCTCACGTTATATGAAAATCACATATTACTATAAAAAGAAAAGAAAAGAGAAGAATAGAAAAGGGAGATCGCTGCTATGCTAAGAATTTTCTTTCCTGTTTGCTGACATTCATGATTGCAACCAATCTTATTGAATGAAATAGCTTTTCAATCTTTTAAGGTCCGCTTTCTCTTATATTTTCATCGATTTAATCAAATACTTTTTGCATGTTTGCAATAATTTAGTTCTTTTAATGGTTCTGCTCTATATTTTTTCTCCAAACAAATTTTCAAAATAAATATAGCTAAAGCGTATGTGAATTCGCATTTTAAGGCAAAAGAAAAGATTTTATTAAAAAACGCACACGTATTACTGTGCCACGAAACAATAGAAGACATTCTTTTGTTCAAACGGTCGACATTAATTCACATGGTTTACTTTTATAAACACACGATTATATTCACGAAAAACAAATTGAAATCGATTCCCAATGCTGCGAAAAATATTTCGATATGTGAAGGATGATGAATTTGTTTTTTTACAATCTAAATACGATGTTTTTGTAATCGTGCTTTTTCACGCTTGACCACTCATTTCTATTGGATATCCAAAATCGGTCTGGTTATTGCAATTTTTAATCTCGTTTCTCACCTGCTGCATAGAGAGACGTACGGACCTTCGAAGGGAGATGCAAAAATCGTTGAGAAAACAGCAACATGGGAAGAAATCAATCTCGAGGAAGATGCAACCGCGACGCCCTCATCTAAATCTCCTACTCATCTACGCATCTTTTTTGTTTATAACATTATGTCCTTGAAAATACTATCTTGACAAGTCTGTTGTCGTTCTTTTTTATCCATTTGCATAATGATAACAAGAGATAATCGTTTCTGACTTTCATTAAATAGGCAATCTAGAATCGTCTTTTTTTAACAATCGTTTCCACTAAGTCAGAGCAAAGCCGACTTGACTAGCTTTCTTTCAACTCTAGTTCATCATATTTTGTATTTCTTGTTATATTATCATATCGATTTACTTTCTCGAACTATGTAACTGTTTAGAAATTCAAATGAATCCATATCGATGTTACAAATAAAAATCGATTTAATTCAACTATATAATCACGAACGACATTCGAATGTTTCCTTAAATTTTGGAAACTTGAACGCTAATGTAATTTTTATTTTCTCTAATATTAAGAAAACATACTGATTGCAAAAGAAATCAGATAAACAAATATTGACTATAGAGAACTTGTTCTTGTTAAAAACCTTGTGCACGCTGAAAACGATAGAAATAATTATGAATAAGATTGAATTGATGATGTTTATGAATAGCAAATGCACTTCAAAATATTTTCCCTGATTAGCAATCAGACATCTTTATTTTTCAATATTTCCTCATGCTCAAATGCTTGTGCATCATCGGATTGTAAAGGAGACATCCTTTTGATCAAATATAAATGATATAATTATAGATAGTTAATTGAAAAATGAATGGCTTACTCCTTTGAATCATTCATGAAACGATCGATGATTGATTAATTTTTAAAAATCTTATCAATAACTAGTGCAAGATTCATGAAGAGGAAACTTTATGAAACATTATCATCGTCACGAAACCCTCATTAGTCGTGCCGATTAGCAGTTAGAAAAACAATATTCTCAAGTTCCAGATAATGATCCAGATTATTTATAATTATAATTAATAGAGAACAAAATAGGAATCATTGAAAATTGATAAAGAAAATGCTCATATCCTGTTGTTTGCTCTCTATAAGTTGAGAAGTATAGAAAAACTTCTAAATAATGTCTGAGTATTGTTTGCATAGTTCTAGATCTTCTGAGCAAATTAAATTTAATAATGAAATAATTTGATTAATAGATGTCATATTTTTTTTATCGAACACTACTGATCTAATGTGTACTCGCATTCCTAATGAAGAAGATTCTTTTTTTTTTATTGTATCCAGGTTCATTTCAGCTTGTTCATTTTCAATGATATTTTAATGTCATTCTTTAATAATTCTATATGTCATGAAAAGAATACTAGAAAAGATCCGCCTTTTGAACAGTATCATGTTCTTGCATTTCCTTTTTCTTTCTATTCTAAAGATTCATACAGCTAAAACATGACTTAGACAAAACGAGCCTATCTTAGAATAGCTTTCCCTCTAAAAGAGCATGTAGTCACATAGATTTCTAATCATAAAAAATGAATTAGAGAATGAAATAAAGCATTATATTTTAGACGTATCTATCGGAACAGGCAATAGCAGATTTTGCATTTCTATGAAATTCTCGAAACAACAAACGTTTATCATTGATAATTTGCTTTGCTATACCCTATCAAATAAATATTAATCTAAGCTGATAGGATTGGCATAAGCTTCATTTCATGTCATCCGAAATATAGAGAAGCTATGCGAGTTATGAGGATCTAATTATAAAATCACATGGCTATGAGCTGTTAATATTGTATAATCTAAATTCATCGATAAGTTAATCAGAAACAGATAGTCTTTTCACTCATAATTTCTCTGATTGTGATGCCATATTAAGGAAATATTTATGAGATCATTTACGACTGAAATCTATCTATTGTTTAAGTATTAATGAAGATGACTGTCACGGATCAAATTTGAATGACTATCAATATATTACCAACAGAATGGAGCGACCTGCGTCGGCAGGCATGAGAACATTCTTCAGATTAAATATTGCGTTAAAAGAAAAAATTTCCAATGATTATATTTACTACGATATTCGATAGTGCATGTCAAAACGATGAAAATTGGACTCGAGAATTTTCTTATCGGAGAAAATTTTTCATCTTTGTAAAGTTTATATATTTTTTATTTCTAAAAGAAAATGGATATCAAGTCATCTGCTAATTATTATTAGAATTATTTACATAAAAAAAAGAAGAAAAAAAACTTTATAAACAAATCATTCGTGCAATTTTCTTCTGACAGGGTTTACATTCAACGTTTGCAATATTCCACGAAAAGTAACATTGACAATTTTCAATAAGCTTCAGTTCAGTTTGCATTTCATAGCCTTTATTACAACAAACTTGTTCACATACTTCTTTACTAAAGCATTCTCGGCCTTTTTGTGCACTTTGATAATCAATAAATGTATTTGGACGACAATAATTTATTGATTTTCGTGCATAGAATAGTTGATTTTTATTTTCCAAGTTCATGTAATCTATTGCTTCTATGTAACGAGCTTTTTTATATATGTTAGTATATATCTCAGAACTAATGTCTGTTAATTGTGCTGGTCGTAATCGACATATTTGCAATTCACACGAACCACTGACACCGTGACAATGACATTCTTTCTTCATCATATTTTTAACAATCTATTTAAAATAATAAAAATTAACGATCCTCTTTTTTGCTACCGATTATTCGATATATTTTACCTGTCGGCCAACTTCTTTATTTGCTTGATTAATTTTAAATAAAAATTTTTCTTGAAAGATTTTTGACATATTTGCGCCATCCGTGATTAAATATGCTAATTGAAAACCAATGCTTGGATCTGTTTGACATAATTGCCGGTTATGTAAACATAAGCAAGTTGTATCATTAATTTGACCTTTAATACAAGCATTTATTAAGTTCAGTGTTAATGTTGCGCTTGCTAGTGTTGTATAAAATGAAGCCTCTTTTGATGCTAAAACGAAATGAAAATTATTCATTAAACGAACAAAGTAAATTGAATCGCACCTTGTCGTAAAAATCTTCGCAACGAAACTACTTTTGAACTTAATTGACAACCCCATGGATGGTCACGAAAATGATATTGACATTGTTGACGAGTTTGAATATTTGCTTCATGTAGTATAATATGTAAATGAGGAATTTTCGAACATAGATAATCAGTATTTTCACCAATAAATGGACGATAGGATTGACATGTTAAACCATGGATTAATTGAGTAGCTGGTGTTAGACCTAATAACCTAAAAGAAAAGCGAAAGAAAAATTTCCAATAGGAAAATATTTTTCATTAATCATTATTTACATAAAATCACTTGGTAATGATTTTGCTGTTGTGATGATAATAAATGACAATAATACGATCAATGATGACATCGTATTGATTTGATTCTATTGTGTCACTTGCTTTCTCTTTTTAAATCAAAATATTGATTTCGTCTCGCCAGTATGTTTTGTTTTTCTTCTAGTGGTCAATTGTATTCAATCAAAGAATTTTGTTATTGTTACATCCCATTCTTTCACTCTCTCTCTCTTTCTCTCGTCTTTCTTTGGATCATAAACGTTATACATAAAAATAAAAATGTGCTGAGCGGCGATCAACCAAGAGAAAGGTGTCAAAACTAAACAGGTGTCAGATAGCCTTTTAATGTCCTTCAGAACGAATAACACCCATCTGTGACCAAAACATGCCTCATTCTATCATCATATAAACATGAATATTATAGCTTTATAGCTTTAAACAATGAGAACATTATGTACATTGTAGACATTCCTTATATTGTGTCAAGTTTGATAGTTGATCAAGCGGAAACGTGATCGCAATAAGTATCTATCAATACGCCTTTTTTTGGACAAGTAGAATATAAATTTTTGACAATAATCAAGAACCCTGATTATTGTCAGAAATGGGCGGAGTGAGAATTTTTCGATCAATAATTTCTTCTTCATTTGACAAGCAACTAAGAATTTTTGCAGATATATTAAAAAGACTGGAAGCAATAGGACTAGTCTCTTCATTACAATATGATGAATTTAATAATATTTAGAAGAAGAAAAATAAAATTTTAGATTGTTGATCGGTGACCAACAGGCATCATTTATTCAATAGGAATAGACTGGTTCAATACCTGACTCGTTTTTGTTTTCATGATCATATAAGTGTTGGATGAAGTGAGAAAACAAACGTTTTTGAACTATATAATTCGGTAGACAACAAAAGAAAAACAGATGCATATAAATACAATATGTGACAATAATCGAAATAACGCTCACTATTTCACACAACCTTGATTCGATAGATTCTTTTGAAATGTTCTCTAAAATATGCGAATAAAAAACACTTATTTGATAATAGCATCAATAGAAATCGTAAGCACTGCAATTGATTTCTTCTTAGTTTTTCTTTTATGTGACGACATTAACATACTTCTAAAATTAAGACTTTTAGTCTCGACAAAAAAAATACATTTGACAGTTCATTTACCTAATATCTTTTATAAAAATTGATGAAAAACAAAAAGAATAAATTCAATAGTCAATGCTGATAATGAATTGTTATAAACGCTCTTCAGTTTGTTTCTTTTTCTCGTTCTATACTATTGATTTTATGACTCTTTGATTTGTTGTGTCATAAGAAAAAATAAGTAAAAAATAGAAAAAAAGATGCAATTAAGATAAAAGAATAGGAAATGTTAGTTTGTTTTTTTTTGTAAAAAGAACCGAATATTTGATTTCTTTTCTTTTTCTTTCTTTCTTCTTTATACATCAATATAAAATATATACATAAACTTATGTATCTAAATGAAAAAATAGAATTTTTCGACTAAAATTAACAAGAGCTGTTTCTTGTGTTTCTTCATCTATACCAAGATCAACAATGTTCGATACAATTAATGTATCATCATCGGTAATTGCAATAAATCGTGCATGAAAAAGTGTAATATCCTCTTGTGTTGATTGTTGCTGTTGATGATGATACATTTCATAAGGACTTCCCATACCGCGATAGAATGGTGGCATGGGCGATTGTGATGCCGAATTAGTTGACCACATTTGTGGATGTCTACCACTCGCATTCCACATAGCTTGTTGTTGCATCCATGCTATAGATGATGCATCTGGTTTCCTCGATGGTCGCCGAATAACATTGCCTAGTGAATTTGGTGTATGATGTCCACCACCAAGTGTCATATCATATGTATATGCACCATGTATATTTGGTATAACACGATTTGGCATATAATATTCTCGACATAATTGTCCTTCTTGATCAAAAACTAGAACAAGATTATTGGCAGGATGTACATCACAATTCCAAACTAAAACGTAAATTAAATCATGACGTGATACACATAAATATACTGTTTGTAAATAATGTATTTTTGGTGCTGTTATTAACCATCGATAGACGAATGAACCAGTTTGATTATTGTAAATACTGATTTGATTTGTTTTTGTATGTAAACAAACAAGAAATGTTGAACCCGATGCTATACAGTTGATATTTTCAACGTTGATTGACCAATTACGATCTAAATTTATTAAACTTAAACCATCATATGCATAGATCGATGGTGTTGCACGATCGACTTCAACGAATAATAATTCGCTGGTTATTGGCAAACGTTTTGATGTTGAAACAAAATTACCATTTTGATCAAAAAATAATAAACGTTGCTTTAACGTTTGATTTGGTGTTATATCATCGGGAGATTCAGAAACATAAACACGTATTTCATTAACAACTAGACAGTTTTGTAAATTATTATTTAATGCCGATGATAATAATTTATATCCATGTAAATCTTCAAATTTATATTGTAAAATAAGATCATTGGGGTTCATTTTTCTACCATTTGTATCATATAATTTAATAGTATGAATTTTTGTTGAACCAAACACAACAAGTAATTGATTTAACGTTGAATTAACAACAAGATAAAGATTTGTTGTAAAATGATCAAGTGCAACAATAGACGATGGTAATATATATGATGATTTTAGTCTTGGAGGAAAATTAAAAACTTGTTCATTTGTTGTTGAATTGTTTGTAGGCGATGGATCTGGCGAAGGTGTATCGAGTGATTCGTATAAATGTGGAGCTTCTGGATCGTTGGATGAGCCTAGAATTTTTTTAGATGGAACTTTTGTTGAACGACGTTTTATTAAATTACGCATAGAGCTACGAAGCGAATATCTTTGCATAGAAACGGGCTTACCGGCCTCGTTTTTATTGATATTGTTCATATTTGGATTGGATCGTACATTCGGACGATGTTTATTCAATGTATCATAGACATTGAAATTCTTTTCCGGTTTTCTTATTTGATCAATTTTTACATTTGGTAAATAGTTTTCATCTGAATGAGATAAAGATATTAATGAACGAATTTCGTTAATGAAACGACGTGCAGCAGTAGGTGAATATGTTTGTTGTTTTTGAAAATTTTCAGCAGCATGCAAACAATTTTTTAAATCCTCATTATCGTTATTTGTCATAGCAAGCATAAAATAAGCGTCGGTTATAACTTCGTTAAGCAATAAAATCTCACCGTCATTTTTTGCCTGAGATGAAGAATGTATTGAAGTTGTATTAGCGTTAGCAGTAAGTACCTTATCGAAACGACGACGTAGAGATGCAACAAATGAATTCATCTTATTATATGCTGATGACGATTGATCACTGACGAAACGATATACACTGTCGACTGTTTCATTCATCGTTGCCGTTCTTCATTGATAGAAATAGTAAACAAATAATAACGAGGCTGTTTATTTTTAATTTCCTATTCACCTGTATGTGTCACTAGCCAAAATTGTTCGTCTATCGTTAGAGAAATTATTTAGTATCTATGTATGTATGCATGTATGTATGTATATATGTATGACAACTTTAGAAAGAAAAAAGAAGCAATTGAACTTATAAAACACTTGAACGAGCAACTCAACGAACCATGACAAGTTGTTCATATTGGCTATTCTATTCTATTCTTTTTTTTCTTCTTTCATTACAAAGGATCTCATTGCCTAGACAACAATTGTAGATAAGCAATATGTATATATTATTTCGTTGTACAATGAATAAAAATCATTTTGATATATTGTCATAACGATATTTAATGATTATAGTTGAACTTATTGGAAGTATTTCATTAGTTATTGCTCTTGTAAGCGCTGTTGCTCTTACGATTATTCATATAAAAAATAAACAACATGCTTTAATAATTAAAGATGCAAAAGAAGAAACAAATCAATCGACATTAGCTTTACCTTTTCAACCGTGCAAGTGAGATATTTCTTTTAGCTTTGAGAAAGTATTACACAACAGTAAAATAGAATAGGAAGGTTTAAAAGCCACTTAGTCGAAGGAGAAATTGAACATTTTCGCTCTATTTCGATCATATTGAGATGGTTGTTTTATTAACGATAAGGAAGTGTTCATAGAAGAAAAGAAAAACTATACTGAGCTGTCATTGTCGATTTCACAAAAGAACTATAACCTTTTACAAGTTATGAACAAGCCATATAATTGTTACCCTGGCCAAAAGTAAACTACATAATTGTTTATATTAATTCTTCACGCTATTATCGTTTGATATGAAACATATGCAATGATTAATTGTATTCTTAAAAAACTTATCTCGCTAAAAATACAGCAGAGTAGTTGCCTTCAATAATATGATAGAAATCACATGCAGGTGATTTAATTTAAGCTTCATTATGCCAAGGGGGAAAAGCGCGACTTTCGTACTTTGAAGTACGACGGGAGTAGAATGGGAGTACATGAAAGTACGATGGAAGTACAAGGGAGTATGAGTGGAGTACATGGAAGTACGTGACGTACGGAAGTAAGGAAGTCGCGCTTTTCCCCCCTTGCATCATGCCTAAAACAATACATTTCGTATTAATATATGATTTTTATTTATTCTATTTTTGATTGAGTTCTTACAATTATTGAATAAAAGAAATTTTTGTTTCTCAGTGAAGATATTTCCGGTATCAATACTCCATTCAAGTTCCACAACGCTAAAACGCTGCCAATAATTAATGTTATAGATAACGATAGAATTTACTCATCTTCGATTAAATATGGTATTCAATGGACGATACCATCAAATGACGATAGTCAAATTGAAACAGTCAATTCATCATCTAATATAATGAAAACTTCCGAATTCGATCAAGGTGATTCATTATCATTGAATGATCAAACCAAAAGTGTACGACATTTGATGGAAAAATTTGAAGATAATTCTATACAGAAATCTGATCAAACAGAAAAGTATTTTTGATTGATAAAAATTTATAATTCTTCTTTTTCTTAAATTAGTCAAATTGATTCTAATTTAACGAGCATTGATAGTCAAACAGTAAAACATGATTTTAACCAAAATCAACATACAATATCACATCATTCATCGATATCAAATCTTGACGTACCAATTCCATCAAATCTTTCATCATCGATTGATCTCGAACAATTCGAATGTGTCTCTATGACATCGACTTTAAGCGAAGTTTTTAATAATAATTAATCAATCACATAATTGTTTATTTATTCGGAATTATTCAATCGGAGAAAAAACTTCGAAAATCTTTTCATCTCTATTGCATTTAAAATATAAATATTACCCCAGTGTGGTTCATATGCCATATCAACTAAGAATTGCTTTCATTTTCAACAATAATTTCTTGGGCGGTTCTCAAAAGTAGTAAAAAGTCTGCTATTGCACAAATCTAACTTTCAATTGAGAGTGACAGATCAATTCAATCACAAGTCATGATAAACTGATTCAAAAAAGAGTTTTGAAACTTCTGTTTATGATTACTCCTATTAATTTCTTACTGAGTTCACATGCATAAAAATACTTTTAGTGAAAATTACGTTAAAAAACGATTATCAAAGAAGTTGTTAATATATATCAAATGAGAGCATGTTTTCGATCATATCAAATGGCACCAATTATTTGCTAGGATTAATCAACGAGTCTATTTTTCAGATCAATTCCATTTTTCATCAGTACATTCAAAGTAAAAGCATACTAGAGAATTTTAAACTCCGCCGCCAGAATAGCTAAACACTGTTGCCTTTGAAAAGAATTGATACGTTATTAATGATAAACTTTAAATCACAGAAAAACGTCGTTCATGAGAATTTGACTAAATACAGTGTTTTTTGGTTACAACAGGTTTGAAAAAATTACACTTATTCATAGAAGCTACTTTTGCGTAGGTTTAAAGCTTTCAATGAGTTCTCTAAAAAAATGTACTTCTATCGAGTGCAAAAAGCAAAGGAGATTCATTCAGATATTCTTTTTTTGTTCTCGGACAATACTCAGTAGAATTTTACGCTTGAGAACAACATGCGCGATATTGAATTCAAAACTATTATGTACAAAAGATTCTCATAGCCTGATTAAAACAATTGTGAAAATTAATCATTTTTTAATTAAACATTAAGTAAGTTTTTGAAACATGAGATTATTCTATCTAGCAACAATTAAATAGCTTGAAAATTTCAATTGCCATCGAGAAGGAGTTCTATCTCACTGGTAGATTCTTTTATTGATAACTGTCAAGAAGTCAAACGCATAAAGTACACCATAATAAGGACGACAGAGTGCCATCTTCCTCGGTGCATCTTGTGACGAAAATAAACATAAATTTTAGTCAAACATGAAGCATTTCACAGATGATTTTTCTCAATTGTTGATTTGATTTATGGCTTTTTTTCTAAAAATATGTTTTTTTTTAATCAGACATTTTGCTGAAAATCTAAAAATATTCATTATCTAATCTCATGAAGAATCAACAGAAAAATCATGACTGAATTGAAGTTCCACGAGAAGAATGAAACACCCACACCCATCGTCTTTTTCAATTCCAAGAATTATTTTCTAATCACGCTACTTTGAAACATATTCTTTTGTTTTAATGTTACATAATCTACTAGCAAGCTTGTTGTTTATTAGTAATGATATTCGGAAAAAGAAGCTTCAATATTAATCATAGGTGAATATTAATACTGCATAAATAGTTGTTCGTATTTATAGAATCAATTAATTATTAAACGCCATAATTTCATTTTGGCGAAAGAGCTTGCACAATTATTGATAGCGGCTATCTCGAAATAATTTGCTGGCTAAAATGTTGTTGTAAAATGTTTTACAATAATTCATAGAAGAAAACTATCTTGCAATAAAACTCAAAATAATAAACAAAGTTGTAAGAGATCTTGTGCTATACGGTAAAAAAAACAAGAAAATAAATAACCATATAGGAGATATTTAAAATAATTGTTACAATGACTTTTGAAAGTAACATTTTTAACATATGAGAATTCTTTTAATTTTGAATTACGATTGCTATTGGAACAATAGAAGATATTCGAACAGTCATTGTTCGATTCGTTCTTGGAATTTGGTGATTAGTAGCTCGTCGTCGACTTCGTTGCATATTATAATCAATTAATAAAGCAAATGTGCAGAGAAGAAATGGAACAATAGCTCCTTTATATAATGAAAAGAAAAATCCATCAATGATAATAAAAGTTGCGAGTGAACCAATTTGACTTGTACATCGTGTTGTATTTGTTAACGGATCTTGTACATAATTATAAGCAATTGGAATGAATATTGCAAATAAACCCCATATAAAAAACAATGATCATTGTAATGTGACTTACTTTTAAGTTATTCCATGTTCGAATTGATTGACTCAATGAACTAGCGCAAAGCCTATCAGTAGATGCCAATGTTATATAACTCGATGCTAAACAAGGAAGTATTAACATGGCATAATTTTCAAATTTATACCAAATTTTTGTCGAATAAATGCGGTCAGAAAGTGTTTTTTTTATAGTTGACAATAATTTCCATGAGAATTAAAATATTCATTATAAAAAAAATCAACAACTGAACTAGATAGGAAATAAAACGAACATGAATTGGGTCGAATTTGTTTATGATGAAATGTTATTATATTTAGAATCGATCCACATATGCCAATTATATAGAGTATAACAATCATGTATTTATCAATGAATAAAATAATTTCCGACAGTCAAATGACACCAACCATCGTAAGTCTTGTTGCTTTCACGTTTGACACTTTCTCGTTAACGAGCTAACCAAATCTTGTTTGAAAAAAGACTCCATTATACGTGATTCATGAAGATAATTCTTCGATTTGTATGCAAACAGTAATTACATGAGATAGATTCACGTTACCAAATGCGTCATCTATTTTTCTGGGCCTGAAAAGTAGATATAACAGAAATGGTACACCATGCTATGGCAAATTTCTAAGTTTATTTTTTCGAAAACTTTCGAATAGATTAAGGCAATGAGACAGATAAAAATTTTGATTGGATACTATCACTAATCAAAAATGTATTTTCTTAATGAAATACAGTGACGTGCAAAAACATTTGCCGTTGCACCTACGCATTTTTTTGGTCATATATGTGAAGCGCATGAACGGATTTTTCTGAAACTCTTATCAGCAATCAAGGACGTACTATAGATTTTAATCAGAGCGAGACTCCTCAAAAAGTATCGCTCAGTAGAGCGAGAGACATCATGATTCGAGTGTCGACCGCTTTTCTAGAATATCAAACAGTCATCTTACACTACTACGACTAGGGCAATCATAGCGCTACGAAAATCGTCTCCTTAAAGAAGCTCTACAGCCACAGTATCTAACGAAATACAAATGAGGTCCAACGACACGGCATTGTAAAAAACAAACGGAGGATCACGGTCTGTAGAATTATCAGACAGCATGGCGCTTGGACCAAATTTTGAAACTATCTCGACAATGACTTGTCTGATCGACTTGAAATTTTCATAGTAGACAGACATCGGCTAGTAGAAAATTTTTTGTCCCAAGTGAACAAATTCTGAAAATCCATCTTCAGCGTCAAATAGAGGTCAAATTTTGAAAGGGTAGTGTTGCTTTTCTTTCCCGTTTTAAAAATTGAGAAGACATCGTATCGAGCTGAAACTTAGGCTATTGGATTTTGATCCAAAAAGGAGGTTCATAGCTTCTTTCACTCTTCTCCAAACACACCTTTTAGGCTAGAACACAATCCATGTACATAGGCAAAGCGATCCTAAGGTATTTGAGTGTATCGGTGAAGCTATAGTGTCTACTGCTTTTTTTGGTTGAAGGGAAAAAGAGCTAGCTATTGATTATTATATTTGTGCACTCTTGTGTATGCATAATCTATTTATAAAAAAAAAACTTTTAATATGCATCATGTTCAGTAGAGTAACTTCATCAAATACTAACGGCAATTATTTTTGCACTCTACTGTATATGTTTATTTATTTCATATAGACTTTCGTTGAAAGTTGATTGTTATTCAAATTATTTCTTTATTAAACACTAGTCTTATACTTTAAAATACTATTTAATTAATGCATCAGATGTTCTTGTTCAATTTCAGTAGATGAGCTCATTAAAAATTCAATTTATATCTATCGATGGATTTGAACTTTGGTACGAATGAAAGAGCTCGATGTACATTTTCAAAAAACTGCTCTTCAAAATGACATCTGACTGTTTTAAAGCGTGCGTTCTTTAGTTTCTTTGAACTGACCTATTTGTAATTATTATATATAATTATATGAAAATAAGATTTTATGACGAGGATCACATTCATTGGTGAATACGTATAATTTCCATATTGTCATAGTATTGCCACTATGTCTAGCTCACATGAATGATAATTCGTATTGTTCTTTTTTTTGCAAAACGTTCTTTATTATGCAATGCTTTTTTTAATTTCACTTCATTTGAATTACGATTTGCTTTATTTTATTGAACTATTTGCTCTTTTCTTTTGTGAAAATATGACGAATTCTCTCATATTTTCTTAAAATTAAATGAAGAGCAAAATATTGATTTTACAAAAAACAAATTTAACCGTATCAATTCTTTGTGTTTGCAGGAATCGCTCATTTCGAATTATAATATCGTAGTCGATGATCATGACAAGAAAACAGTCGAGCATCGAATGATAAATATCTGTCAACAGTTAGATATCGCATCATTAACACTACGAGGAAAAAATAAAATCTCTTCACATTTGTTTTTCGAATTTATAAGTTTACGGAGTATTGTTTTTGAGTAGTCTGATTAATCTGTTAAAAAACAAAGGAAACATACTTATGTAGCATTGCATAGACGATGCGAATCTAAAAAAAGAGTCCTTTTGAAAGTTGATGGATATAAAATGTTGAATCTTCACATTTGGAACGCTATCTTTGACGAAGAAATTTGAATTTTCAATGCATGAAAAACTACAATCGTTTTGTTTACTAATGAATGCATATAAGTAAAATTTCGAAATGACTACTTTAAAAAATTCCATGAAACTAGCAAGACTATTGTACAACAGTACTCCTTTAGTTGATTCGTTCGAAACACAAAACTTAAAATACATATCTACTACTATTACACCAAACCGAAGAGATTTTACTTTTTCATCGTAATGCTATGACTTTAGTGTAAAATCAAAAACTAATCTGAAACAAAAGTATACCATGATGATGATGATGAGACATTTTCTAGAATGTTTTATCCTAAAGCAATGTGCAACTGTATTCGATCTTTCGTTCAACTTTGTTAAGATGTTTTTTTTTCATATACATCAACTTGAAAATAATGCAACATAGAAATCTTATTAAACAGAGCAGTAAGCTAAATTCATAAACAATTAGTGAAGCTGATTCTAACTTAACAATTATTCAGAGTCAAACAGTAAAAATTGATTTTAAATCAAGATCAACATCAAATATTCAATCGTTCATCGTCGATTGATCTCGAACAATTTGAATGTGTCTCTACGACATCGAATTTAAGCAAATTGCTAAATAATAATTAATCAATTATATGATATTTATTTATATTAAAAAATTATTCAATCATAAACCAGAATCAAAAAATCAAAAAATAATATTGGAAATCTTTGTTTTTTTCTTCATAAGTTCATAAAAATTCATCGAGTCTACAAACACGATTTTCTTTTCGAGCTATTTCAGCAGCAAATGCTATAATATGACTTGTTAACGAATCTTCAGGTCCTGTACCAATTAATTCAGGCTTATTTGATGACAGTGCACGTATAAATGAATCCATAGCAAAAAAATCAGCACCACCATGGCCACTCATGATACCAGCGCCAGAACAATCAGTTTCATCGTAAACTGTACGTTTTTGTGTAAGAAAATCATAATGAATTAAAGTATCTTTGCCTGTCCATGTCAATTCACCATGAGTACCAAATATACGTGATGTCCGTTGGCATACTTGTTCAGTGAATGCAACCATTTGCATAGTTGCTGTTGCTCCTATTATATTAGAAATGAAAGATTTAGTTTATTTCTTTTACATCGAACTAATGATTATTGATTAGAGCAACTTGTAGTTGTATGAATACTTTGAACATAGTTTTTTGGAGAAATATATATATGCATATGGAAATCTATGTGTGCCGATATTAAATAGAGACGATTATTTTTGAGAACTTTAGCTAATGTTTAATTTATCTTTCAAAGCTAGGCATAGCTTGATGCCATTCGAGATAACAAATAGGTTTGTTCAATCACGTATATCAAATTTCAGACTCGAACTTGAATAGATTTGATCTATTCTAAGTTTCTCTCAATGAAAAATTGATATTTTTAAGCTTCATTTTTTACCATCGTCGAAATTCAATATAACCACTTGTTGATCTACAACATCATTATTGCAATCTCCATAAACACATTTTCCATAGGGTCCAGTTTCCAAAGCATTTTTCACTTTCACTTTGACTTGACTCCAATTTTCACTCTCTTCAATATCTGGTACAACAACTGAAACTGGCCAGCCCATGTTCGGATTTTCCATATAGATTTTTTTCGCTGAATAAGGACATGTTGATTCAACCGGACAAGTTAAGCATCGATCGCTAGCACCCTTTGGTTTATTTTCACTATTAAAATGCATTAGTTTACCAAAACTTGAAATATGTGTACAACGACGCGGTTGCATCCAATATTGAATTAAATCAAGATCATGACAACATTTAGCTAATAATGAAAAACAACTATCATTTTCATTATGCCAATTGCCACGTACAAATGAATGAGCAAAATGCCAAAAACCTGCAGGTTCAAACAAAACAGAAATCGAAAGTTTATCTTTTTTTCTAGAAATTTTTTCTTTTGTCTTTACCGACTGGTTCAATATGTTGAATTGAAATAAGTTTACCAATGACATTTTTATCTAGTAGCTCTTTAATTTTTTTGACAACAGGCAAATATCGTAAAACATGACAAACAGTTAGTAGAACATTATTATCTCGGCAAACTTGAACGATTTCTTTACAATGTTCAATTTTTGTAGCCATGGGCTTTTCTAATAAGATATGATAGCCTCTCTTAGCTAATTGTACTGCTGCTTCATGATGTTCTCGATCTGGTAGTGTTATAAGAGCACAATCAGCAAGACGTTCAACATTTGAATCAGCTAATTGACGCCAATCATCATATACATATTTATCTTCTAATGAATAAATTTTTTGTAATTTCTTACGCACAACCGATCGTGGATCAGCTATGGCAATTAAACGAAAACTTTTTGGCAAATAACGAGCGTATTCAGCATAATTTTGTCCACGATTACCACAACCAACAATTATTCCTGTAATTTGTCGATTTTCATTAGCTTCCATTTTATTTTGAGTGAAAAAATATACTTTATCTTTTGTCAATAATAAAATTTATTCATATGCTTTTCTGTTGGTCTGATTCATGCGTCCAATCAGTTTAGAGCAAAATTAATCATCAACATAAGTTTGTGGAAATGCTTAAAAATTTACTTCGTTCTAGGTTAAGTAAGTCATTTTTAGGCAATATCTGGACTGTGACCTATATTTCGTATATTTTCCTAAAAATTCTTATTTTTCCTATATTGTATCGAAAAAAGTAGAAAATTTCTGAAAACCTCTTAATTTTGCTATTGTCTTTAGACGAAAAAAAACTTTCAATGTGTATAATCATGTGTTTTCGATAAATTCTTGTATTATACTGACATTTGTTTTAAACAGTATTTTTTCTTTCGCCTATTTAGTGGACTAATTGAGAAATTGTTTAATACTAAGTACAAAAGAAAAAAACATTCACAAAGTGATCATGTACTAGCTACGGGGCTTTAGTGAAGTTTTAGTTAGATATAAAAGCTGTATATATCTATATATATATATATATATATATATCTGGAAAAAATAAGTTTCACTCTGTATTTGATGATATTGTTACCAAAAGAACATATTTTGTAAAAAGTAACAGCATATTCTGCAAGACGGTGAAAGTTTATACCATCCTGTGTATATGCATTTTCATTTATACTTATTTATTACCAGAAAAAATTGAGTTATGATAAAATACAAAATAAACTTGTGGAAAATAATAAGCGATGAATGCTGATTACCAGGCGAATAAAATTAGGTTGAGATTTTTTGGGAAGTCATATCTGTAATATGAAACGTCTCGTTTAATTATGAGAAATAGTATTTGTCTTTTTCATGTATTTGTTTTTTCAAAGCTTATAATCTACTTTATTGTTATTTATCGATTAGTGGAAAAAAACTTTTATAATGATCCTTGAATTAGCGACTTATTCTAGTAGAAAAAATTACATAAGAATCTTAGCTACGGTTGAACTGTTTATAGCAGGTTCATTAAAAACGATTTTCGAGCAGAACAGTTAAAAAACACCAAAACAATTGAACAGAAACGGTGTATAAAACGTCCCCTCTTTTTTGACAACCTTGATTCTCTAAGGGTTCCTATAGTTTTAAAAAAGTGCAATCGGAGGCCAGGACAATATAATAAAATAAAATATTTCTTAAACAAAATAATTAACTGACTTAATTATTAGCATTTTTTCGAAAGTTTTCCTTCTGTAATGTTATATCGAATTTATCATTGATCGATAGACCAATAAAAATATTAATTTGAATCTTTCTCATCATAAAGAAACATTGAAGAATGAAGCTATATGTATGTTTTTTTTTCTGATTTAGAAAATAATATCATGGAAAAATCAACTGTTGAACAAATATTAAAAATTGTCGAAACAGTTTATGGAACATATACTAAAAGCAACTGGATCCCAAAACCGTATGCTGATAATAAAAGTCGTTATTTATGGACAGATGCATACGGAGTTTGTAATTTTTTAACATTGTATCGTGAAACAAATGACATCAAATATCTTGAGCAAGCTGATGCTCTGATTAATAATGTTCATGATATACTTGGACATCAACGAAATGGAAAGAAACGTTTAGGAACAGCAACAGCTGAATATCCAACTCGGGGAGGATTACGCATTGGAAAAGTTGAAGATGAAGGATCATACGATGGTGATGGACGTAAGTTTTAAATAGACAGGCACTGTTATGACTGTTTTGACATTAATATGCTTTTTTTCAATTAAGTTCCACTAATTTTTAGAATATTTTCATTATTTAACAAAATGGGTATTTGCACTAAGTCGCATGGCAAAAGTAAAAAATGATCAACGTTATATAAGATGGGCCGTTGATTTAATAAAAGCAATTCATCCACATTTTATTTATCGTGATCGTAATGATCAGCTGCATATGTATTGGAAAATGAGTATTGATTTAACGTACCCTGTAGTACCATCAGAAGGAAATCTTGATCCATATGATGGCTATGTAACTTATCGATTAATTGATGAGATGGCCGAAGAGCGAGAATTAGAAAAAGAAATAGCTGATATGAAATCGATGGTTGATATAAAATATTCACATTATCGCTCTTCCGATCCACTCGATTTAGGTGAAGCATTATGGATTACACACTGGTATTCAGACGAACTATGGGCAAAAGCAATAACATCAAAGTCATTACAAGCACTTGAAGAATTATGGCAGCACGGAGATTTTCGTGAGCCCTTAAATCGACGATTAGCATTTAGAGAGTTTGGCACAACTATTGGTGTGCAAGTTAATGATAAAGCTAGCGAAGAATGGAAAAGTAGAATTAATGAAATACATAATCTTTGGTTACCACATCTCTATAAACGAGATAAAGATATTTCTCCAGTCATGCTTTGTACTAGCCTTCGACCCGGTGTTATTAGTCGTCATTATCTACAGTAGAAAACTTTTATTTCATTGTATATGTATGCATCTGAGTAAATTAAATAAACTAGCAATTCTTTTTTTTTTCAACTAATTTTTCAGATTGGCTGATATCATACTGCTGCACATAATTAATAAAATCATACTATAAAAAATAACATAAAATCTTTTAATATTGACTTTCCGTACTCAAAAGTCAAATAATAAATATCTATCATGACAGATCAATATCGACTAATTTTTCATACGATAAAACACCACTGAAGCAACCTACAGGCGTCAAATCATTTTCTTAGCTCTTCAAACCGAGCTCATGAATCAACATAGAAAAACGGGCAGTATCTATAGTAATTCCTCAAACTTATTCAAAGTCATTATTTAAGGTTCGTCAATCTCCGAAAAACAGACAAAAAATAAATCGCCAGATGACTAAAACAGTACTTGGGAATGCTTCATAATCAAATTTTATCTTCGACTTTTCTAAACAGCATAAATCATGTATCGTATTTTACATGTGTCGATTCATGGATGTCAAATTCAATTATATTAAAATCTTTTCATCGTCAAGTTCATTTCAACTATCCCTTTAAAAAAACCAAAGTTGGGTTTTTGTTTATTTCTCCTCTTTTGATAGTTAACCCATTGCAGCATCTTCCTCAATCTCTTTTCATATTGAGCTAACCCTGCATTTTCTTCTAAAGCTTATCTGGTTTCTAACGTATAATTAAATGAAGAAAACTCATACATAACATAGTCAATCGAAGCCATTTGAAAAATTCTCTACCAGTAGCAAAATCACCATGAACTTTACTGGATATATAGAACTTATAGATTCTTGTCCTTTCTTAAAATTGATTCTGTCAGGCTGATCTAGTAAAATGAGATTTTTCAGCATCTAATTTTTCAAGCAAAGATCCTACGAGTATACGAATGAAACTACTTAGGGTGAGTTTTATAACCAAAGCGAAATGCGTCTTAGCTTACTTCATAAACACACGTATCACTCAAACCCTCAAGCAAAATATCAGAAAACGAATTTTATTTAGTCAACATTGATATTTTACCATATTTGTTTCTTGAAATAAATATATGAGAAAATAAAATCATAGAATGTCTTAGTCCAAGACCGAATAAAAGGCATCAAGAGCACTCGTTAAGAACTTCATTGAATAGATAGTGATTATTTTTCACCTCTAGTCGCTCTAAGATATTAACATCCATCAGAATTTTAAATCGATTGAGTATTTATCATTGCATTACTCTACTGAAACCCCCTATTACAATATCTTGTTGATCAAACAGCAAGAAATGTGCATTTACTCTGTCCTATTATGCAAAAATTCCCAAAAAATTTGTAATCGAACAAACTCTCACTCTCGATAGACTTTCTCTTTCTCTTTCCTTCTATCTGTTCTTTCTCCTTTATATATATATATATATACATATATATGCAACCATATGAAGCCAGGTCGAACAGACACGATCGTTTACGACCGTATATGGAGAAATACGCGAAATACATGCCTCAGTATTACGGTCAAATACGATCGTATACGGGGACAAACGGAGCGTATACGACCGTTCACGATCTTATATGAACTCCGTGAACCTCGACCTGGGAACATTTAAGATTAACTAAATGAAAATTTAAGTAAACCTCATCGAATCGACCGGCCACAAATAAATAAAATGTATGATATACTTTATGGTCATGATATAGACGATACTAAAACTAATTATAATTCAAACATTTCATCCGAATGTCAGATGCAATCATAATAACATTTAAACAATTTCAGTATAAAAGTGAAACAGTGTTAACTTTTGGTATTGTGGTATAGACTTAGAATTAAACACATGGAGAAATAAATTACTGAACTGAAACCAAAGTAATGAAGACAAAGAACGGCAGTAGCATTGAAAGATGCAATAACACGCAGCAGATGATTTTACAGTAGTAGCAGAATGGCGTTCTCACACTTATCAACCGAATATCAACGACAACTAAATATTTTAATTACCATAAGTAGCATTAGTAAGCACGATGAATGACTGTGACAAGTTATCAGATGTTACTGATGACGAATTAATATAAATAGCAGTGACAAAATTTAAAAAAAGAAACTATACGATTTTAAGCTTACGACGAATCAATTAAGCTAATAATAATAGCAACACACAATATCCATGAGTTGAATGTCACTAAATTACACTGCTACAAAAAAATAGGGACAGCAAAACTAACAAAACCTGAAAGAACATCGAGCAAGAATTTAAAACGCAAATCCAAACAAAAGAGTCGACCGGAATTTCAACATGCAGTTAACAATCAATTTAATATAAAGAGGAACCATAGCAAGATTAGTGCATCGCTCAAAGCAGATAATATTCATACCAGTCATCAAATTACAATAAATCGAAACAAGATTAAACTTTTAATTTCCTCTTAATTATTGAAAGAATAACAAAAGATTAAACTAAAAATTAAAATTGAATTTTGTTTTTCAAAGAATAATATGTCCAACGATAGAGCTAAAAGAAGAAATAAGAAAAACAAGCCGCTGTTATAATATTTGGAAATCACAGCAAACATTTGTAGTTCATGAACAATTGGATGAACTCAGTATTAGTATCAGAGGACTCACATCTCATAATGAGAAGAGAATTTTAAGTAGGCAAATCCTCGATCGGCTTTCTCTTCTTTTTCTCTTCTGTTATGTTGTTGCTTTCTATGAACTACTCTTCTCTTTGTTCTTTCTCCTTTTTGTATATATATATATGTATTTTGTAACTGTGTGAATATTCAAGATTAAACGAAAAGAAAATTAGAATAACTCATCGAATAGAGCTCGTACACTACCACAAAAGGAGCGCTTAGATGGAGATAAAACAGGCTGTATGATGCCTTAAATCAGAAACAATGAATGCACAAGAAAGTTTTGAAAGGGAGAAACAAGCACTCTGCGCTTTTTTCATTCTGCTTCCGATAAAATTTTCAAATAATATCTACTTGAATCGCTTAATCTCTTTCCAACTGAGAACAAACCAAGAATCAAGCGATTTATTTGTAGTGACTTTTTTTGTTTCATACCGATTGCACGGTCATTGTCAAAATGTATCGATTTTATTTTGAAATCAACCGATAAATAACAGTCATTTTTTCAGGTCGAAGTAGTGCGCCGAAAGCTATCTTAAACAGAGCGAAGTTATACAGCATTCATGCCAAATAGTCTTTTACACTCTGTAGAACCACTTCATTTTATGAGCACTCATTCCGTTTCTCGAGAAAAGGATTCTTTCAAGCTTACAGCAATTTTTCTTGCTTTCAGCGAAGATCGACTTTGATCAGATAAATAATCCAAATGAATTCCAGATGATTTTTTTAAAACTCGTTCAATATGGTAATCTCTTTATTTATAGTTTATAAGTACAAATTTGGTCAAGAGAAGTTAATGAATATATCCCGTCGGATCTTACACTCCATAAAGGAATAAATTTTTGTGGATCGCGTTATAAGTATTGTTGCAGAAAAACGGATTCGTTGAGAAAGAAAAGGGATATTAATAAATTAGATGCACGTATATAGATATGTCACTCTGGTTCTATAATTTGCGAAATATTTTAGTCTGATACTATGCAAATGATGCTAAGGAAAGTCAATTTATTTTCTTGAATTGTATGTATTTTCGTCGTTACATCAATGACCGTTTATACTGTCCGGTATATTTGTGATCGATCTCTGTGAGAAGCTTTTTATTTTTGACTCGTTATTGATTATAGAGATGATTCAGAAATTTTGGTATTTAATATATTAGGGTCAACAGTTAAAAACAAGTGAAAAACAAAAAAAGAAATACTGCTTCTTTAATAGTAGTTGTGCTACACTGACCTGGAAAGATATGAAAAGTTGAACGCTGCTTCTATTTATTCATGGTAACTGAAAATATACCAATTATAAGTATTTTCACATGAAAAAGAAACGAAAACATTGGGCGTAGAAGAACCAAGCCTATAAAGACACACGGAAAAGATTGCATATCAAGTATTGGAGATAGTGCGAAAGCAACGAGAGCATCTTATAGAACTTTGAAGCAATTGGTTTTCTCTGTAGGTACAAAAATTTATAATTCTCTTTTGTCTTATTAGCCAGAATTTCGTTAAATAAAATACTTTTTGATGTACTTATGGACATGTACAGATGTACGTAATTAAAGTTATCGGAAGTGGTATAATAGTGTTAGAAACTAATATTGAATTAATTTATTCAAAAAAATATTTTACTATCTCAGTATTTAGCTGTTCTGTGCTACTATATTTAACTATTGAACTAGCCAGAAATTTAGCTGATGTTGAGTTGCAGGAAACTTCTCATCGATAGTTACTCGCAATGCATTCATAATCAGTCAATGTTCTCTATTATTTTAACTTTTCTAGGAAATAAAATCACAGTAAATGTGGGGAACACAGCTTAAAAGAAAAAATTCGTCAATACCCAGAAGTCTTTTCATATTTGAATAGTGAAAAAGTATATTTTTACCCTCATTTTAATGGAATGGACTTGATTTGATGATGCTGATCTGACCTAGGCTTCGCTATTATTGCTTTTCGCATTCTCTTGTTTTTCAGCAGGGTGTCATAAATTGATCATATGTCAATGCAGCTTTCTGTTCGTTCAAATATGTATGATGTTCTGTTTTTAATAAAGTTCAAAGCTTTTAACAATCAAGATCACTCTGACACAAGTAGCAGCGTAAAGCAGTTCATAAAAACAAGGCATTGAATGAAAAAGTTTATATTTATATTTAATGTAGGCCTAGTGTAAGGGGGTTCAAATTTATTTCAATTGTATGGTTCGAAAAAACTGATTAGTTCATTGCGTGAATTTATGATTTGGAAAGATGAATAATGTTAGGATAAGTCAATGACATAGCGTAAAGCGAATTCGGTTGATATTGAGCGAGGACATGAGTGTGTAGTAGGTATAATGAAATCTTTGACTTTTAAGCATGCGCAAAGGCGTCATAGAGCTCTATGAAAATGACTCTCTCTGATCAAAGATAGTTTTCGACTATATTCTTATTGATCAATTATTTAAAAATAACATTCTCTGGAATGATTTTTGATCTTTGTCATTTTAATTCTATATTTAGATAAAAATGTATTGTCTATTTACATACTGACTTTAATAACTGCGTAGTCTTAGCTAGACTTCGGCAAAAGTAACACGAAATAATGCCATTCAATGAAAATTTTGAGATTCAAACATCAGTCGAAATACAGATACCAAATATCCACGCCGAGTTATCATCAATCAAGCATGCAAAGATGACTAATGCTTGCCAAACTTATAAAATTTTGTTTATTCTGTCTGTTGCTTTTCTCCTTCAATTCACTGCATACGATTCTATCGAAAATCTACAAAGTTCACTCAATATCAGAGATGGGCATCTCCATGGAAACAAGTCGTTCTGGGACCCCTAAATTGTACACGTTGTTTTCGAATTATTTTGAAAATTACTTGAACGCTCCACGTAGCTTTTGAAATAATCCGATAACTACGTAAACAGTTTAACGGTTCCAAGGTGACTTATTTCCATGGAGATGCCCATCTCTGCTAAATATGAATGGCAATATTGGAATTCATTCTTTATCGATTATTCATGGCTGCTTTATTCTATCATCCGCTTGTTTACCACATCCCTTGATAGGTGTGTTCGGTCTTAAATGGGCTTTGGCCTTAGATCAAGTACCGTAAGTTGAGACTAATCTTGAATCAATGAGAAGTTTTTTTTTAAATTTTAATAGCTATCTCTTGTATTTATCAGCTAATTATTATCCGAAACCTTATTTAATTTATCAAGGTGAGGATATGGTTTGCTAATTTTTCTCATCAAGTTTCATTCATTTATTCTAGCTGCTGCATTAGTTGGTATGGCTTCTGCACCTTTGTGGACTTCTGGATTGAGCTATGTGATAGATTCGGCATCTATCTATGCTAAAACAATAGGTGTTGGCAAGGATGTTATTTTAAATAGATCCATAGGAATCTTCTACATGTTCTATCAATCAGGTATCATATTATTATTTTTTGAATCATCACTATTTTCATCGTTGCTATTGTTTATAGGTCAAGTGTGGGGTAATCTAATTTCTTACTTGGTCTTATCACCCAGCGAACAGATTAATGTAAATAGTAGAATATTCAACAACAGTTGGACGTACGAAGAATGTGGTGCTGATTTTAATGAGCAAGAATATCAAAGTAGCACTACGGGTCATATGATCAATACCACGGATCTATGTCACTCTGCCAATTCCCATTTCTGCCAGTTACGTTAAAACAATTGGCAGAAAGACAGTGACATTCTGCCAATTGGCAGAATCGCTTTCTGACGCTCTGCCAACTATAGCACTTTTTGCCAATTGGCAGTATGTCACAGACGTCTCTGCCAATTGGCAAACAATCGCCCATGGGAATTTACGGATTGCTTAAGTTAATATTATTTCTATAGGTAAAAGATGTCTCTCGGTTATAATAGGGAAATATGAAAGAAGAAACTTAATTGAATACGACTGATTTTATCTTTTCAAATGGCTATGAGCCATTGAATCTCTCTATTTTATCGTTACCTCTTTCTTTTTCTCTTTTCTATTTTTCGTGTTTCTATCGGTCTAACTGGTTTAGTTTGTTGAATTAACGGACCGACATTCTCTTTCTGAATAGCCAACTTACTGAACTAAATTGTATTCATTTACAGTCCGACTTATTACAATGTATAAATACTGGGCTATTTATCACATTTTCACATCATTTTTTCATTCTCTATCTTTACACGCAGAAGGTGGACGCTTCATCGTTCCTCCTTCTTCGCTAACTCACACATCGTGAAATAGCTCGTGTCATTCATAATTAAGATATTCATTCACGTTAATTATTCATAATTATCTAAGAATTTCTTGTCATCACACTAACCAACAAATGAGTGATTACAATCACTATTTAAATATGAGCAAAAATGAAAAAGATCGTATGTGTGACCATCAAAACATACAACAACTTTACGAACAAATAAAACATACATCCACGACAAACTACAGCAATGACAACAGTAAAAAATCATTAAAAAGAACTGAAAGTAAGATGGATGAAAATCAACTCGACTCTGAAGACAATTCTGAAATTGAAAGTCAAAATACTGATGATTTGGAATGGAAACATCAAAGAAAATCAAACAAAAGAGGAAACAAAGCACCAAGACTTGGTTCCTTTGTTCAAGGTAGAACAATTACATCGTCATCGCGTGGTTATAGTAGAACAGAAAACAAAATAACACGTCACACACACCCACAAGAAGAAGAAGAACAGAATGAAAGAAGAACTGTCAAATATCAACTGTCAAACTTAGAAAAACATCAAAAAGACACTGAAAGTGATATACAATATCTGCATACCAACTTCGCTCACAAACAAACAAACAATGAAACGCAAAATCTAAATGACGGTCATAGTACAAACGAAAATAAGGAATTTTATGTAACTAGACAAGCATTAAAATTTGCAGTTGAAGATAAATTTCCACCACTGAGAATTCTGTGTGATCCACAATTGAAAACACATGAAGATGGTACAAGTATTATTAAAGAATTTCTCAAATATATCGAACAAAAATTCAAAAAAACAAATCCACGTTTCAAACAACCACTTGGCTTTGATCATTATACTATTGATGGAACAAGATCTCTAGTATGTTACACAAAATACATTGAATTATTTATTTACATGCGCAACATTAATAACTATCCTAAAGAAATAAACAACATAAAGCTAACACCTGTATTACCTACAAAGTTGCCACCACGCAACGCAATCATATTGAAATTTATTGATAATACAATTAAACTCGAAGACATACAATTACAAGTAAAAGAGAAATTGAAAAGCGTTTATGCTATAGAAGAAATGATGGGCACAATGACTTATCGTTCACGCCATATACGTATTGATTTATTGTCACAAGATGAATGCACAAGCGCACTAAATAGTGGAAAGTTTGCATTACGTGGTCATTTATACGATGTAGATGAATATTTACCATCACCACGTATTCTCATATGCAATAAATGTAATTCTCCAGGTCATGTCAAAAAGAACTGTAAATCAACAATTGAAATATGTAAAAGATGCGGTAACGACAGACACGATGACGCCGATCATAAAAATTGTATCATTAAATGTCACCATTGCGGCGAGAACCATGAAGCGATAAGTTTCAAATGCAATACAATATCTAAATTTAGACAAAACTTACTCAATAAATTAAAAGAAAATAAACATCTATTACCAGCACACATTCAGTTTTATATTCCACAACAGTACCGTGAATATAAAGGAGAAAAAGCCTTGACGAGCAGCAAAGCTGGCATACATCAATCGCAAGTTCATTATAAAGAGTTTTATCATAATAATCAACACGATTACAACGTTTGGCCAAAATTAAGTTCGAATTTATCATTACCACCACCAACAACAAATTCAATGCCAATATGGAACGTCGAGTTGAAACAAATTCAAGAAGAATTATACAACCTAAAACATCAAAATGAATTAGAAATCAATAGATGGAAAATGGAACATGAATCACAGATGCAAAAAATTGCTCAAGGATGGCAACTAATCAATCTACAATTTAAAACACAAGCCGAAGCTATAGTCGACATATACACAACCTTATCTGAAATTCTACCACCAGCTATAAAATCAATTCAAACAATTAATCATGCTGTGAAGGAATTCAACAAATTTGAAACAGATGAAAATGAACGTCAACGTAAAGAATTAACATATGCTACAATCAATGAAACAATATCTTCACTCAATAATCGATTATACTTACTAACCAACCACCAACAGAAACTCAAAACACTCATGGATAAACAAAACGATTTGTTGTTGAGAGGTATGAACACTAATGAACAAGCAAACAATGAACTTTAATTTTCACTATTCCTCCCCGATTGTAAATAAGAGTATAACTAATTCTTTCGATGGTACTACAACTGAAAAAACTATGTTAACCGATATGATAAATGAGTGGAATTGTAAAGTTTCTATATCTAATATCTCCAAACAATGGCAAAAAGCCAGACCCTTAGGAACCGATGAAAATCTCTCTATTATACTGTACAATTGTCAATGTTTAAGTACTCATATTGCTGATCTCGATATTCTCCTAACAACTTATACTCCTCAAATAT